ATGATGCTCAACATGGCTTATTAAAATAAGCTAAACACATTGCAATTTAAAACAGGCCTTACGTACAAGTATAATATACACCTTGATTTATTTCACATCAATTATCATAATTTTCCAATTTTTCATTTTCATCGAACTTCCTTCGTGTTGAAACCTACCCACGTAACGATTTTCGACGTTTACTATTATGCTTGATAAAAACACAATCAGACATAACGATAGTTAGATACCTACTTGTATAGATAAAATATCATACGCGAGTCATCATTGTTTAAAATATTTAAATAAAAGCAAAGTTTGACTTAAACGAACATGCTGTAATACTCCGGACAAAGTACCAATTCAGAATGCCATTTGTTATTGTGAAAATATTGTTGTTGGGAGGTCATTTTATGCACCGTTACACTCGTTAAGCGATTACTCGCTACTCATGCGCATGGTTAAATAATATAAGAGATGAATTCATAGTATTCATTCCGTACATTAACGAAGAGCGAGTATAAAATCATCCGAACTTTTGTTGGACTTACACATTAGTATTTCGATTTTAATGGATTATTTATATAATCACGTAGTGTTGGCGAAATCGGTGGGTGGACGTTGTAAATATCTAAAAACATCTCCCGAACGAGAATTCCCGATTATTCAAATTTCACTGGACTCTAGAACCGGTTGCTTTTGATTTAAAATCGTTTTGAAATTACACAATTATCATCGTAAGATTTCATAATACCAAAACTCTCATCCCGACGTCCATCGTATTAAATACGAGTGGACAAATAGAGGTATAAAATGTGTAATAATATGTATAATAATCTAATTGTGCTGATCTAAACAATCGTATCCCAGAGCTCGTAAAAGATAAAACGATTTGTTTATATTATTCTACAGCAGCGTACCTATTATAGTACTGAGCGATTCAATTCTTGACAGTCCTCAACTCGATGCGTCTAACATTTGTTAACGTTAAGACGGTATGGGATCTATAGATTCCTATATTTTGCAGGTGTGAAGCACATTAGGATAAACACGAATTTCAGTGGATCAAAAGCTATTTATTAACGTGTAAACATACATTTTACATAATGCTTAATCGATAAACATTCGTCGGAAGAAATGCCTGGAAAAGATGTTGGACACGTTTCACACAGTGTTGTTATTATTATCATACTGAAATCCTACGCTATAGTAAAATGTATAGGTTGGGTTAGATTGCAATGTATTTGAGTACCAGTATTTAAATTCATTTATTCTCGATTATTCCATGAAGTTTTTTTAATGTAAATTTAATCGAATATACTTATGCGTTATTTTGGTTTTTGATAGTTATTTTTACATGTCGGCGGGACACCATTACACCAATATCAATCACTACCTATGTTATACATTATTTGTGACTAGAATGTATTATATAAATATTACAGAACAAAAATATTATACTAATATTAAATACTACATTACATCATAACTAAGAAGCTATCGCATACTATACTTTGTTTATCTGTTAAACCATGGATCAAAACATTGATATGTGGGAACTTAATTTAAAAAAGTCATAAATCATTAAACGGTTATTATTTTTTTCTGTCTAACAGCACTCCAGCCTTGCTGTCAATAAACGCTACCTACTCGAGACAAGATCGAGCGTGACCTATATTAATATTAGGGTTCAATGCAAAGTAGTATACAATGAAACCTATCTAAATACCGGACACCCTCGGTCACTGATATTTTGTCCACTATTCCGACTTACTGACTTACCCGCTATTCAAAGGATTCAGTTTTTAGTTTGTTCACAAAAACAATCCGCTGAAGGTATTCATCATGGGAAGTTTCACTGTACTTTTAACATTCAAGGTGATGAACTGGATCACGTTATAAGAACAAAGAGTGAACTCTCTAATCAAATATTTCATCTCCACTAGAATTCGGAAAGAAACTTGATTTATAATAAAACAGAATACCTACTAGCAATAATTGTCTGGTTTGTGTATTGACTAAGCACGAGAAAATAATATTGTATGCTATATTAAATTGTTATTTGTTCCACTGTTCGGATGTTTTGCAAATACTCGGTATTTGGTGAAAAATGTACTTGCACTATACGTTCAAGATTGAATATATCTCCGATTCTATAGTGGGTATTTGAGAAGTATTTACATTATTTGTTTTCGATTTATTTAATTTATTCGTCAACCAGTTTTTTAAAAGTATTATTTATAACAATGCCATGTGGCGCAAACGCACTATTACAATTTACAACACTAAAATATAATAAAAATTAATGTTATAATTATTATCATAATAATATTATAATATATTATATTATCCATATCTAAGAAACCACTCTTCGTCACGATACCTCCCACACCCGTCACCCAACGTGTCATCGCCGCCGAGCGACGTCAACCGGGTGGGTGAGGGAACAACGTTCGCCACGTGTCATACACCGCTAGAACGATAAATTATCATAATAATAATAATAATAATATATAAACGTGCCACAGGTAATTATATGCCTAATCTCGATATAAACCTTCTCAGACGGCAGCGTATTATATGCGTTTCTTGCGCTCGCGAGAAGGGTAGAAAAGGACTATTATTAATACAGCGGAGACCGCGTCGTATCGTTATACCCATTCAGTCACAATAAATTCGTCGCCGTGTGCTACTGTACACTAGCGTAGATATATAATAATAATAATAATAATAATAATAATATAGTAATCCACGCAGAGCCGTCGAGAGCTTATTCTCTATCCCCCCCCCCTACAGCTAACCGATGTACCCCGCCCATCACGTCACGTCTAACCGTCGTCGTTTCCGTCGCAATGATAAAATAATTGTCATTATCTACCTATATGTAATATTATGTTATTACCATTGTATTATTTTATACGTACATGCATACGACATGTGCTGTATACCCACTTGTAAACACAATACACGGTACACGCAAAATAATTGTTATAACAATAACAATAATAATTTCAAATACCCAGGTTTGCCCGCGGCTGTTGTGTATTATTATACAGAGTAGTAAATAGTTCTTTTATCACTAAATCGCCATTTTCTCGGTAAATTTATGACTTTTTGAAAACTTTTTCATATTTAATAATAATCTGAAGTCATTAATTATACACCACATCATTTGTTATCGTTATCATTTTTAAGATTTAATTTTTTTTTTGTTAATGAAAATACATTTATAATTGTATACCCCTTACCAATAAGCATTTAAAGTTCTGATGAATGGAGAATGCACCAACATTCTGAGAAGTATTACTGAAACGATTCCACGACTCCGCTCATCTGCTGGTTCAGAAGATTGACTAAGAATTAATGTATGATATTGTAATTTAAAAAAGTAAGAGAATTCAAAAAATAATGACAATAAAAAATAGCATTATAAATGTAGTCGAATACGTGGATAATTCGTAAATAATAATAATAGTAATTATATATATATATATATATATAAGCCTCATTGCTCGATCGCAATTTCGATCGCACTGGTTTTAGTAGGTAATAGCAATTTTCAGTTAACTGGCGAAATTGAAGTTGTGTGACGCAATTTTTTCGTCGACGTCAATCGATAAACCCTCCTTACGGGGGAAAGTATATTTTAGCTTTAAATGATCACATGCAAAAATAAATAGACCGAAGTATCCCAAAACGGAACGATGATTGAAAAAAATCGCCATAATTATAAAGCCACGGTCTACGACAACAGAGTCAGGCGTCGGTGCTAAATTTTAAATCATGAATTGTTTTACTTGAAATACTATAGCTGTGCATTTAGCGGGAAAAAGTGTGAATCTAGGAAAATGGGTCGTACATAATGCACACGTCTGACCACCCTCACCGACGTCGCCGCGTGGTCAAAACATTTTTATTTTATACCTTTTGTGGATCGCAAGGTGCAGGTATACTCAACCTTCTGACCACCTCAAGGATATCGTAAGGCGTAAACTATCATGTTATTTCGCAGACGTCTTATTCTATAGAACCCGGTGTCCACTTACACATAGTGGCAGAATGCTTGAGACTGTATTCTAATATACAAATGTATTATTTCACTCGATCGCTTTTTCATATTTATTTGTTTTGTCCGCATTATAATATAGTCTCAAATAAAGGAAATTTCTGAATCGTATGCTTACAACTTTCTATTGAATAGTAATCAATATTTGCCTAACACGTACTTGAGAGTACATAAGTTGTATAATTATAATATAACCTGCACCAGTAGCAATCTGAATGGGGTAGATCTGGGTCAAGATACCCTCTTTACTGTAGCATAGTCAATTATTGACGAAAAAAAAATGTTATTACAATTTTGTTATGGTACTGATATATTATAGTAATTAATATGAATTATAATAATTTGTAATATATTAAAATGCATGTAAATAGAAAAATTAAAATGAAATGGAAATAAATATCTTGATTTGACCTCTCCCAACACAAAAAAAACCCTGCTTGTACCACTGGGCTGCACGTTCCCTGTCTGTGGTGAATTCGTATGAAAAATCTGTTAGATACGCCGACGTGTTATACACATAGTATAAAATTATTTTACAAAGGTTGTATGAAAAAAATATATTAGTAAATATAATTAGAAAATTAATTTTATATTTAAGCATACCTATATTTTATGATGAATTGAAACTATATATTATTCTAGATTTAAATTTTTTTTAGTCACTACTCACTACAAATGTATCGAGATTAGTAGAGTGACTTTAAATACTAATTTACTCTAAAATAATGTTTGTATAGTAGTATTACTGTGGATTTTTAGATGTTTTCTGATATTATCAAGACATTTCTAAAATCGGTCATTATTTGTATAACTTGTATTCAGTGTCTAATAATTTAAGGTACTACGAGGTTCAATACGGTATAATACGGTATTATACAATAAAAAAATATCGTATTTTAATAACTCTAGGCTTTAGTTAAACGAGTTAATTTTACAACGGTTTTCATTTTTACAGGTCCAACACTCCAGCGTATGAGGCCAGATGGGAACAAGTTCAACAAGAAGTTAATTCTACTGGTACTTATCAACTTACAGAAACTGAATTGGTATTTGGTGCCAAATTAGCGTGGAGGAATTCGGCTAGATGCATTGGACGAATACAATGGGCTAAACTGCAGGTTTGTGTATTCACATGATTTATACAACTGTTGAACAGAGACATAGAGTTATATTTTAATTATATTTACGTCATAATATAATAACAACAGTCAATAATAAAACTCGAATATTTCAGTAATATTACGAGAGTAAAATTGTAAGGAATTGTTGATCGTAATGCTTATTATAAAAGACTAGTAACGAAAATCATTTTCGGACCAGATTAAATATGAAAACATTTGCAAAATAAGTCGGAAATATTATATTATATTTTATTAACTAATATTTTTTTCAAATAAATATATAATATTATGTATGCCATTTTGCAAGACTGCTACAATCTCACTATGCGTGTTTCTTATTTTTCACTGAGTTGCATATAGATTGTCAATGGTTGTATGTCTACCATACGTACATTTAAATGTTCGTGAAAAATAAAAATATCAATGAAAACATTTTTTTTAAGTTGTAACTTTAAGGCTACGCACGGATCATTTTTAACCCATTCTGCTGAACACGCATCAATGGTTCTAAGCAACCATTCAATCAAGACTATAATCGTTTTCTTTTACTAAATCATCTATACAGATACATTTTGAACTCAAAACCCATTGAGTATTCACGAGGGATTGAGAAGAAAACATTTGAACATTCGATGATAAGTCAGTTGCTGTCGGTGGTTATCTCGAATAAAACGTACATAATCTCATTCTGGTGTGTTAAAAATGAATTGAACTATAGACATTTGTCTGATAGATACGTCTCGTACTGTCCCAGATAATAAAAATGAATAATATTATACGTAAAATTTATCATATGAAACTCCTATACTCTATAAATATGAGTGCATAATGTCTCTGTATCAATTCCTTATAATTTAGCAGTATTATTTTTAAACACATGACTCTATTTATTGTACATTGCAAATGTTTACTATATAATTATAACTACGAAATCGCATAATATTATACATAATGTTACACTATAATACATCAGTTAAAATATTTGGTAGAATGCTAATTGAAATGCACAAATGTTTAACATTTTAAAGACATTTTTCGTGTTTTATTCGTGACAACACCTAATTATTTAACTATTTAGTAATAAGCTATAAAATATAAACTTTTAATATCATCAAACATTTATATAAAAAATAAATCGTTAATATTGCGTTCTCTTAATTATCCAGAAAGTATTTCGAATGTATACATACTTACCCGAATTTGTATGCAATTTTTGTTTATTTTTCAGATGTTTGATTGTAGATCGGTGACTACGACTAGCAACATGTTCGAAGCTATATGCAACCACATCAAGTACAGCACAAACAAGGGTAACATAAGGTTTGTAACCAAAATAAACATTATTCACAATACGCGGTACAAGTCTTTAACATTTCTCAAAACACAAATCATTCATCCACGACCACTATAAAATACCTATCTATGTATGTATATTAGCATATTAAACAAAATTCTGGAACCGAAACCTCTCAATTTATTCTTCTTCAAACCCTTATTATACACCGATGTTATTGTTGTTCTTGTTGTTGGTGGTGATGGTGGTAGTAGGGATGCTGACGGTGAAAGTAGTTGAGGTTATGGTGCCGGTGGTAGGAGTAGTGGGGGAATGGTGTTATATAAATAGCATCGTCGAGTAGTCCGATTTCAGTGTGCGTTTAATAATTTAATTTGCATACGCAAACCAGCGTGCGATACTTCTCCACTTCATCTAATACAGACAGAATTAAATTCTACAAGTTTGATTAAACTGTCAGCTATTGATTGGATGTACCACATGAACCCGTTCTTGTCACCTTTATTCTTGAAGATTTCGTTGTAACCAACACATTTGCATATATCAGAGAATAAATCGTGTCTTAAATCCAAAACAGATATTTCACGTCATCTTCTAACTAATAATGTATTTGACTACCGCGTTTGCAAATGAAGTACACGTAGACTATAAATATAACCATGAAAAAATTAACTCTTAGGTTCCTTTTAACGTTAAATATAGCTTAGGCATATTATATATATATGCAATATGTATATAAGTATATAAAATCTAATAAATTATAAAAAAATAATTAAAGAAAAAACTAGGCTGAATATGATATATTTTAAATATGTGACATTTTTGTTGAATACTGGAAATATGTCTTTATTCGTATCAAAAGGTGAATACAAAATATATTATTATCCAATGTAGATTAAAGTAAATATCGATGACAGATGGCAAAATAATCCACTAACGACTTACCAATAAAAACCAATAGATTTTCTTCTTATAGAATCGAAGGCCGTGGCATACAAATCATAATTTTATTTTTAAAACTGAATGATCATTATACCGTGTAGTGGCATATACCTAATAGCATTTCGTATGCAGTTACCATTACCGTAGAAATCGATATTCTATAATACTAAGAACAAAATTATTACGACCTACGTGTGAATGTTGTATCCATTTTTTTTAACTGTATTTTAGTTATTCTACCAACATATAATACGAAACATAAAAAAAAATTGGTTTTGTTATAAACTGATATAGTGCCTACCTACTAACAAAAATAAAAATAAGGTGTCATATATCTTTTAACTCCAAATTTACTACTAAAATGAATATTTCATAAGGTTTTCTTCTATAATTTTATCGTATATTTGACATTTATAAAAAATATTATGTTTATTACCTTTGGTACCATATTGGTGCTTGAACGCAATGAAAAAAAAGAATTCATTTAATAAATTAGTTTCGACTTATTGCAATTTGAGATTTATTTAACTATTATAAAAATGTTTTAGTAACAAATAAATTATAATATATCTGGTCACAGAATAAATTACCTTTCTTTTCATTTGGTATAATATATAATTATTAGAAAAAACTAGATGCAATAATGATATTATAAATTGAAATAAATAATTGATTGAGTGGTTCTTTGAATTAGAAAGAAATCTATATTAAACTAGTGTCAAATAATTGAGATTCAAAAGTAATTAATACATATTGTTATAGTGATTAGGTTGATTTTTGAACTTTGTTCAATTTAGGCTAGATTAGATTTTGGAGATTTCGCATGAATATTTGGTTGATTGTTGCATATTTATAATTATCAACATTTAATTTTGTAAGTAGATTTTTGTATTTTTTTTTTTTAGTATTTATTATCTTTCCTATATTTGTTTGTAGCCTGTCTGCTACACTTGAATTATTTACTGTGATCAACAATCTGATGCGATCACAATTGTAATGATCCTGTTAAGGTATGACTTTTAAATCGTTTTAACACCTTGTCAGTTATCTGGGATCGTTGTCATATTGGATACAACGTGGTCACGTGAAATGAAACGACAATTAAGCTGGAATGGCAAATAGAACGACATCAATGGTACTGAGGATACCATGACGTTTTGTTTTAAATTTGAAATTAAATAAAAAAATAATATACAGAAATTGAATGACCTTACAACTGTTGATATTTTCAAATATCTCTGTATATTTGACTGTTTACTCGAGCTTCCATGGAACAACAAAATGTATTCTTTTTTCAGTGAGGTGGAGTATTGTTGATGGCAGCAGAAGTACTATAGTATATATACTTTCTAATAAATAATTAACAATTTAGGTTGATACAAGTAAAACCATTTTAAATTAGTAACCATTTATTATTTTCCGTCAATTATTACGAAAATAAGATTGCGTGCAATAATTATTACCTATATCGAAGTAGATACAATCAAAGACTGATTTCCAACCGAATAATTCGTAAGCAATAAAATTATTCGACTTAGTAGAAATACAATTAACAGCAAGGTGTTATTTAAAAGTTTTATCAACAGAAAATGCATTAAATGAGATTTAATTTCCTGCGCCACCTAATATCGCTCGCACTTATTCCAGCATACAGTATAATAATATAATATATTATTATATATGTATATAAATTTGATAAACTCAAAGTTAGAAGTTAAGAGGAAAGGATTTAGCATATAGGAATACCAATGAACTTGAAAACTTTCTTATTAAGACAATTTTGCCAGTAAACTTTACATTTTATGCAATTATTTTGTACAAAATGAGCGTTCCGAGATTAACATTTTCCACATTATTGTCAATCTTAAAATTGAATATATAAAAATCAAACAGTTAAAACTTCAAATTCATCCAACTGATAAAATCTACTTCCAGCGTAAAAATACACTTTATTTTCTACTAAAATTTATGACTCATAACATTATTGTCATGAAAGTCACAGATCAAATTGCTTTTTCGATAAAATTACAGATATAGATTTTTAACCCGACAAACAATTCATTCGACAATAATATTCGCCTCTGTTCAAAAGCTCAACGATTCTCAGCATACATTTAAAAAAAAAATCCAATCGACTATTTACATTTTAGTTACGTTTTCCTACGCACAAAAATTCTACAAATTGTTTTCGACTTCACATCTATACACTTAAGTTCTAAATTCTATGATTTTCGTTGACTGATTATAAAGAATTTTGAATTTTTCTTTAAATAAATTCATTGAGAATAAAAACATTTAGCATACATTTAACTGGGTAGTTAAAATAAAATATCAACTACTTTACAAAAATTATCAGTTATAAATACTGAATTTATTTTTACAAACATAAACTTTTCCCGGTAAAGATTTTTGGTTTTACAACACTTTATTAAAAAGTTACAAAGATGAATTGAAAAGTTTCAACAGTCACTTACAATTTACAAAGTTTTGAAAGGATAAGTCTATAAGTTCTCTCTTGTACAAAAACACAGTAGGTAATTCGGTTGAAAGAACTTGTCACATTTTTTTGTTAGTCAGCGGAACGATTCTATTTACACTAAATACTTGTTATTTTAATTATGTTGGTTGTAACTTAAATAAACTATAAAAATATTTTATTTTTTCTAAGTGAACATAATTTATTATTTAGTAATTCATTCATTATGAACCAACAATCAGTTCTTACGTTCAATGTTTACGTAACACCACTTTGTTTAAACACAAAATGTTAAATTATAATAAATTTTAATTGAAACTGTTAACTTCTTTTGGCGGTTTTTGTTTTATTATTATCCGTGTTGCTGTTTGATAATAGGTACACTTAAAAATGTTTAAACATTAAAGTCACAATCCTAAATTTGTTTTATTATCAACATGCAGATATTGAGAATATTTTTTTTTTGTTTTTAAATAATATACAAATGCTTGTCGTAAAAAATATATTTTAAAAAATTGTTATGTCTTTATTTCTTTACTGTTAAAAGGGACTATGGTTATAGTTTTATATTTTAAGTATATAAAAAAAATATAACTTTGAGGATTCTCAATAGAAATAAATAATCATTATCTAGTTATAGTTTTGTGTTATCTACTGCAACATAAAACTTGTTGTTGTTTATTTTGTGTAACAATCTATGATTTGTGCAATTGGTATATATTAATAATATCGTTAAAAATATAACTACTTTATTAGAATAAAAAATAATGATATAATAGGTACTTAATAAATATTATTATAATATAATCTAATACGAACAAATTTTAACAATTAAATTAGACATATATGTATGAAAGTTGAAACGATGACTAAGATTATTATAATATAAGTATTCTTGGTAACGAATAATAAGTAAATTAATATAATATGTACAATTACCTAACTATACAAAATAAATGGTAAATTTGAAGGACTTAATTTTTTTTTGTATTACCAACCATTTTACTCGAAAATTCTAAGATGGTTACAATAATATAAATCAGATGCTACCCTGGGTTCAACGAGATACGTATAATCAACTATTATCAGCCAAATTTGTACCCTTCAATTTTAGGACCGATTCACTTTTCAGCCTAAGCAAACATTTTAATATTTACTATATCCTATACACATTGAAAAGTAATAAAAATATATTATGTTGTACAGAAATTATATAGTATGAAATAACTATATTTTTCGTCAATAATTATTTTATTAGTACCTACTACAAGTTTTAAACATGTAAAATGTTCGTCCAAAATTAATGACATATTTAACATATGCATGGAGTTATTATAGTACTGATCAAATACTGCAATGCAAATAATTTATTTTTATTTTTACATTGTATAATTCATATACCATATATTATGTTTGATCATTTTTCAACAATTAACTAAAACAAAATATTATTATAGTAGAATATTAAACTTTTTGATTTGGCCTTAAAGAGAAAAGAATGATTTTAAACGAAAAGATAATCGACTTTTTTTAATTTGTTCAAAAGGGGATGTGTACGATTTTGGTCCAAAAAAATCTCGCCCGTTCATAAATATTGTTGATGGGTGTACCAATAAAATAAGATTAAACATGATATACTTCATAATCAAATATTTATGTTTATAGATCAGCTATAACTGTATTTCAACAGAGGACCGACGGTCGGCATGATTTTCGTGTTTGGAACTCTCAACTAATTTCTTACGCCGGATACAAACAACCAGACGGAACAATCATTGGCGACCCGATGAACGTAGAATTCACTGACGTAATGTTATTTTAAAAAGAAAAAATAGTTTACTTTTTATGTCTTTTGGTCTTTAATAATAAACTTCCGAGTTCCGATTCTTATATAATATTGACCATGAAAATAATACGATATTTGTATACAAATGTTTACAAAGTATCAGGCAGGTATTATTATAGTGGTGTAGAATTGTAAGACGTACTTCGATTCCGTCGGTTTTATATCGATTCCACCTCTAATCCGAGTAGTTATTGAGTTATTTAACTTTGTGCCCCAAAAATAATAGGTCCACGATAATTGGTTTGGTAGATGTGAAGACTATGGGGATTTAAAAATTTTGGTGATTATTGTTAAATAATTATTAACTTATAACCATTAATAATTTATGAAAATCGTTCAACTGTAATAAACACCATTATAACATCTGTTTATATTTTTATAAAACCATTTTTAAGCACTATTACAATTAGAATATTTAATATACATTTTAATAAGTGAGAAACAAATAATTCTAATTTTGAATCAGGTACATCACATTTTTCAAAAAATTAATCTACTAATAATTTACAGAGGGGGGGAGTCTAATTTGAAAAAAAGTTTGTTTCGCCACAGAACACTCTTTAAGAAGTAAAAAAAATCAAAAATTAAAAAAAAATGGTCTAGGTATATTTTAACTTTTAATATTCCAAAAATCAAAATTTGAATAATTATTCAAGGAAAAAATAGGGGTGAGATACTTGGTGATATTACCTGTATATATTATGTATATTTTTTTAAATAAATTATATATAGTGATTGGATTTTTTAAATTCACTGTGTAACGTATTTGCATCATATGGATGTGATAATGATATTTTAAGATATATTATGCATAATATTAATGCACAATTGGCCAAGTTCTGGTGAACCATTAAATTAATAAATTTTTTATACAGCTCAGCATTGACAATGCAAATGGGTTATACTATTTTAGATTCCGAGCCGAGCGATGAATGTAATTATAAATTTAAGACTCGATGTAATCGATAGGTAAATATAATATGAACTGTAGTTGGTAGAATCAATAGCCGATGGAGTCGATATATACCTTTTTAAAAACAGAATGTTTTGGCGGAATCGATAAATTTGCGTACGAACTATTAGGTACAATTACATTTTGAATCCCCATCACATTTTGGGTAAAGTATGTTACTTATCAATATAATATGTTAATATTGTTTCCCTAATTATTATAGATTGTAGTATTATTCTATAAGTACTAAATACACAGTTTATATATTAATCACTACTATTGGGTACTATAACACATTTTTCAATACAATCTAAAGCCAGTCATTCATAAATTCTTCAAAAATCATAACAGATAGATGATAATGAAAAGACCTTCACCGCAAAAAATACTATACTGAATGCTGTCATTTAGTTTGTATTGAAACTGGACAACACATATTACCAAAGACATTCAATTAAGACTAAAATAATATGTCACAAAAAAAAATCATTTAATAAAATGAATACAAGACTTAACTAAAAAAATCACCATTGTTTACAATCAAATAGTAAAAATCCAAATAGTGAACTGTACGTAATGAAACAGACTGCACTCAAAATTAAATAATTATATTTGTCTATTAGTACTATTTATATTGGTCTCTAGAATATTAGACATTGATGAACCTACCTACTACCCATGACTCAATAGTTATTAGTAAAATATTTATAGTATTAGACATTAGCTAATATATTGTTAGTATATTGTTAATATATTGTCTTAGTTTATGGTTGTAAACTCATCATAATAATACGATTATATCGGTAAAAAGCCTCTCATTCACATAGCCACAAATATTTATTTATTACTTGTATGCATACTTTACTCAAAACAAGTCCATTATAAATAAATTGTAAACTCGAATTCCATCGTTTATATTATTTTTTGTTTATTATTACAATATAGTATTGTCGTTGTGCAAGCTAAATGTTTCGGTAATTCACGTGCATTGCGCGGAATGTGTGGTAGGTCAAGTGGGGTAGGTACACGGAATGTGTGGTAGGTCACATACTTTACCCGAAATATGTTGGTACATCGAATACTCAATTGCTACAATATAACGTGCTGGACGTAATTAAATCAACAAAGTGACGTGGTTTTCAGGTGTGTACGAAACTCGGTTGGCGCGGAAAGGGCACAAGATGGGATTTGCTGCCTTTAGTGTTATCAGCAAACGGTCATGATCCAGATTATTTCGATTTACCGAGGGAACTAGTTTTGGAGGTTTCGCTTATTCATCCTTCGTGAGTACAAACAATTATACTCTATAAGTGACACATTAATAAATCAAAGTTAAAATTCCGAAAATCAATACAATTCATCAATTGTTTGAAGTATACATACATTTGTATTAATACCGATTTGTTATTGATTACCTATTACCTACAATACTTACGTGGATACGTGGGACTTCAATAGAACTTTAAATTATATTTTAGTACAATGTATAAATAGGTAGTAAATAATATATACACATACTTGTATAAAATTATACAATCACTTTGGTCTTTCGCGTAAAAAAGTTACGCTATTATAATTCTATATTGTACTAATATATTGTCATCCGTGAAAAATACATTATTATTAATCAATTACTTGAAAATGATGGTCCATCGTGTACTTTAATATTTAACACATATATGTAGAAAACGCGAAGCACTAACTGACAACTGAGTTTTTTTTTTATTTAAATTATATGCCAAAGATACAATTACAATTGGCAATATTGTTTTACCCATAATTTGATTCTTCAAACACGAATTGCGTACCCAAATATTTAAACTAATAATTTTCACTTAGTTAACTTAGTAAATATTTGTACTGTGTTTTTATAAATATTTTTTGATACATAAATATTTGTTTGTTAATTTCAACAGTCCACGAATATAATATAACTAAACCACACAAATAAAAAAAATACATAAATCTTATGAAAATTGTTTACCATGTATAATTGGCAATTATACGTGTATGGTAATTCTTACTGGAATTTTCATTAAATTTCATATTCCGATATTTGAACCAGTAACGCAGTTTATAAAGTATATGACACATGCCGTCATAATAAACATGCGAAAAGCTATTAAAATATACACACATAACCTATGTATATGATTGCTATGAGTTTCATTTGATGTACCTATGTAACATGAAATATAGTGTTGAAAGGAAGTACAAAGTTCAGAGATAAAAAAAACATTATTTTTTCTTTTAACGAAGCAGTTTGATTAAAAACCAATAAAAATTCTAATAAAAACTAAAGATAATTTGCTTTAACAAAATATTAATTGATTAAAAATTGAAATATGATTATTATTCCATATATATAATAATCTTCAGGGCGGACGATTTTTGAATTCGCATATTCACATTTTATTCTCGAATCTTAGTATACTACCTTATAACTTCATGTTATTCATATGGCTTATAACTGAAAACTGATTTAATATTTATAATAAACTATAAAAAGTGTATTTTATCAAATTTTAATTACGGTACATGGACAAAATGTATTATGACATAATAATACACATACTACATATCTACATACCACCTTGTATAATATAGATGACACAATAATATTATGGATATTATTTGTATTTAAACATTATGATCTTAACTGTAGCATTCCAACACCTTTTCTACAAATATTTAGATTATCGGTCCTATTTATGCCTGTGTGTGATTATACAGAGTGAATCCAAAAGATAGTTCATATTAATTTTGTGCATGATTTTTCAGTCCTCTAGATTCACCCTACATATTTGTATTATTATATAATGCATATTATATATTATATGGGGATTGGAAGCGATGATTTTGTCTAACACACGTGGAGCCTAGGAATTTAAACGTGATTTCATTCCAACTTACCGATTGATCTAATGAAGCGATAAGATTTTTTTTTTATTTATTAAAAATTAAAATGTTTCATCATATTGTACATGCTATTACAAGTTTGTTAACAGTTTTTTTTTAATGAACAATTTCGAAATACTAATATTATTTGTTAGTATAAGATTTTTAAAACAGATTTGAATTTGTGGTCAAGTCTAACCCCTTGAGATCGAGTTCCCCGCATTTTTTCATTTTATCTCTCCAAATCCTTAGAAAAAATTGTAATAAAAAAGGAAATTAAATAATTAAATTTTTGGAGAAGTTAAAAATTTAAAAATTTAAGAAATGGGATAAACGATCTCAGGTAGACTTGATGAAAAATTCAAATCTGTTTTTAGAATTCTTATCGCATCATTAGATAAATTGGTACGTTGGAACGAAAAAAGTCTATAACTTCCTATGATCCCGTGGGTTAGACAAAGACAGAAAATCACAGCTTCCAATCCCCTTAATACTTCTGTCAAACGTACAAAATATGATTCATGGGTAATGATTTTAGTGAAGCCATTCTAATAAAGTAGAAAGTTTTGACTTAATTTGTTTTCAGAAAAAAGCAATTTTTTCCATGATTAGAAATGATATAATGTGTTTAAACCTCAAAGTATCAAAATATGATATTAACTTACGCACTGCAGATATAATATAATATATTAGTGTACAATATACTTAAGGAGGACTCCACTGTGCGTTTTAAATTTCCATCGCTTTATCTGATAGTTCCAACCAATTGTTTGTAGATTCGATTGGTTCTCTGACTTGGGTCTCCGGTGGTACTGCCTCCCTGCAGTATCCGGAATGATGTTTGACTGTGGAGGAATCCAGTTCACAGCGTGTCCGTTCAACGGGTGGTACATGAGTTCGGAAATCGGATGTAGAAATCTATGCGATCCACACAGATATAATGTTCTAGATGTAAGCGTTCGATGAGTTTTTGTTGTTTTTTTTTTCTTTTTGTTATTACTTAGAAGTTATTTACAACTTTCAGGACGTTTTAGAACGTATGAAAATCGAATTGAAAAATTATGGATTTTTGAAAAAAGACCGAGCTCTTGTAGAAGTGAACTTAGCCGTACTACACAGTTTCCAAGTAAGTCAATATATAAGGTTCTTGTTTTTGTAAACAATTATTATAGTATATTTTGACGATCTTAAATTATAAAATGTATTTTGGCAACAGTCAAACAATATTACGATAATGGATCATCATACCGCATCTGAATCGTTTATGAAGCACTATGACAACGAGTTAAGAACAAGAAAAGGATGTCCAGCAGATTGGGTGTGGATTGTACCGCCAATTTCTGGCTCCATCACACCCGTTTTTCACCAAGAAATGGTCAGCTACGAACTTCACCCAATGTATGCTTATCAGGTAATATTTGAAATTTTATATTAATAGACTAGAAAGATTATGAGTTAATTTACCATTGATACATTTATAATTTTTTTAATTAATCAAATTATTTAGAATAACATAGTTCTCATACAAAAACTTTTATATTGCTGTAAGAGTTTATTTTAATCGAAAAAACATACATTGTAAATATTAAAATCGTTTAAGCGACATAAGATTGGCAATATTGTTGAATGCATGTTTGAATCATTAACAAACACTTTGTAATTTAATATTAAAAATACATGATTCACAATTCACAAAAATCATAAACTTACATGAAATATTTAATAAATCGTTCTTCTGAAAAATAATTTCACAAAAACACACAATTGCTATAATTACATATTTACATCTAAAATGACTTCTTAATTCTTAAAATACATTAATAAATCACTAAATAATATTTAGTAAATATGTTCAAAGGAACCAGCCTGGAAAACTCATGTTTGGAAAAAAGGTCAAAATCAAGGAAAATCTTTAAAGAAACAGAGACGCAAGTTCCACTTTAAACAAATTGCTAGGTATTTAGAAAAAAGCATATATATATATCTATATATTATACAATATTGATATCTATATGGTATAGGTATACGGCTATACTTAATATATTTATTTTTCATTCAACTAAAGCACCTACATTTTTTTTTAATTAGAGCTGTGAAATTTACATCGAAATTGTTTGGACAAGCATTGTCTCGTAGGATTAAAGCAACCATACTATATGCAACAGAAACAGGAAGATCAGAAATGTATGCGAAAAAATTGGGTGAAATATTTGCTCATGCTTTTCACTCTCAGGTACATTGGGCGAATAATTAATTTACATTTTACCGATACGCATTAAGGCGCAAAAATTATATTAAACCAGTGATTATTATCTTTATATAACATTGTATTTATATTAAACGATATTTTATTTATAATTTGAATAACAATAAAATTTATATAAAAGGTAATGAGCATGGAAGAATATGATATGACAAGTATTGAACATGAGGCGTTATTGTTAGTCGTTGTATCAACTTTTGGAAATGGTGATCCTCCCGAGAATGGACAGGTATGTTTAAGTAATTTAGTTTCAATAAAATAGTCCGATCTTGTAATTTCACATTATTACTTCTCACATTATTATTAATTGAAAATATATACTAATGACTTAATACTAAATGACTAAAGTTAACACAAATAATATTGATGACTGGTTAGCCACAAGTTTTTTCTTAAAGATTTGTACATTACACTTATGCGTTTTATTATTATAACCTAACTATACCTTTTTTAGATGTGCTGTCTACATTATTATTTTTTAAAGCAGATGTATGAATAGAGTTGTAATTTCACTCAAGATAAAATATTTAGATAGGGAGGCGTAGATTTGATAAATGTACACATTTAATTGAATACAATTTACATGATTAATAACTGTGTCAGTTGGGAGGTGCATTTTTTTATTAATTTGGATAATCTATAATTAGTTTTTAATTTAAAAACCCCATTTCCTTGGCCCTGTGCCTCTCCAAAAATCATAAATATCATAGTCTTGCTTGGGAATCCTATATCAGGTATATGACTATTTCAAGAACGGCATTTTTATCCACTCAGAAAAAGATAATACCACGTAAAAGGAAAATAATGTATATATTTTATTAAGAAAATAAAACGAAACAGCGCAACTTTACTAACATTTGTTTTAAAAAAAGAGGCCACAACCCACAACTTTATGAATGTTCTTTTCTTTTTAGATTGTGAAAAGTAGGGTCATTGATATCGTCTATTGGTTAAACAAATAGCTTTGCACATGTTTTTAATATGAACATTGAACACTTTTTTAATCTAAAAAAAGCGCTTTATTAAATCTATATCTATCAATTGAGTATTTGTTTAATCATAAGCGTAAAAAAGACTACCAAAAAAAATTGTAAAATTCACGGAATACACTTTTTATAAATCAGTTTCTTGAAATTAAAAAAAAATAATAATTCAAATAAACTGACGATAGTCCCTTTTCGGAATCTAGTTTAATGTAGAAGAGGGTATTATTGGTCATTGATGGAGGCTTGAACTAAATAGATCTATTTCTAGAATTTAACACTTATTTTAACTTCTTATGTTTTTACAGTAACTTTGGTCAATTATTGTAATTAATATCAGTCTTGCCCAGGTTTAATTATGCCTATCAAGAGTTAGTCCTAAATATTTTACCCAGTTCTGGAAAAATTCTTTATTTAGTTGTACATACAGTTAGAGGTTAGCCAATTTTCAAAAGAAAGTACGAACAACTTTTTTTATTGACTCCTTAGAAGTCACGTTAATATAAACAAAAAGAAAACCCAGCAGAAATCATACTTTTATTTTTTAAAACAACCTATTTAAATTGTAACAAAAACTTATTCAAAAAAATAAAAAATAAAAACACAACTTTCCAATAAGAGTAATATTTGTTTTTGAGTTTATATTATTCATTACAGGAATTCGCACAACAATTGCATTCAATGAAAATGGAACACGAAGGCACTAATTCTAATAAATCACTAGCCGTTAAATCATCACCTCTCAGGTACTAGATCTTAGCCCGTCCAAACTTAGTAAAAAGACAATAAGTAATCACCATTATTAAAATATTTATTTTTAATATTTATTTTTAGTTCAGCGTCATTTATAAAAGCGAATAGTCTTTCAGAATGCCACCATTTAACTGAGCTAAATGATTTGTCTAACAGAGATTCGACAGATGTTGATAACTTCGGACCACTTGGAAACGTCAGGTATACAAAAAAAATTAAGCAAATAAAAAAAAATAAGTATAAATTTAAGTACGAAATGGGTGTTCAATAATTAGATAGGTACATAATTGGTTGACACATTGTAATCGTTATTAACATACCTATGGTAAAATAGTTATTGATTAACATTTATTTACTACCTATAGTCGGGACATAGTTATGATAATAATATTATGTGATATATAATAGTTTATTCTTTGACTCAAAGGTACTCAAAACGAAATAATGATAAATAAATACCTCTGTAAGTACAAATGAAAACTCTTAAGTATATAAAATATTCAAAAAGTTTCTACCTACTAAATATTTCATTGAATAATTTAACATTAAATTCATATCGTGTAACATAATAAGTTTTAATTTTTTCAGAAGATAGACAATAACATATATGCCCATATAGAATTTGACAAGGCTGGCCCATAGTTAAAAATTCAAAAGTTAAGTTAAATACCCCGTTACTTTGATTTGATGGGAAAACTTTAATTTTATAAGTTAGTTCATAACATACATAAAGTGTTAAATTTTAGGTGATTTTACACAGATGTATAAAATCAAGTTACATGTTTATGTAAACCATTCATTTATAATTTTGTTTATTTGAAAATTAGAAGATATCCTAGAAACACTAGGGTTCGGGTATAAAATGTGTTTGCCTCAAAAGTTGATAAATCCAAGACAGAAAATTCCTAAAATAGTAAAATGTATAATCATAATCAGTTTGAGTTTGACATGCATTGGTGCACGCACCGGTGCAGCAGAAGGTTGTTCATGTGCAACATCTGCAACAAATTTTAGCAGGTTGGCCGCGGGGCAGGTTATAGTCACTTCTGCCGGAAAAAATTAATTTGACTGATGGTAAAAAAATAGGCATCTTTATTCTATAGACATGCGTATCTGCTATGAAAGTCAGAGCACGCCTATGTATACATTTTACTCGCTTGTATATAATCGGTAATCGGTATTTATTTATTTATTTATTTATTTATTAATTATAAACGGGCGTGAGCCCATGATACAGATTTGTATGGTGTAATGTTGACATTGTGGTATTATAAATACAATACTTCGTTTCTAATATTTTTTAATTTCAGGTATTAATTGAAACAAATTTAACACTCAGAAACACGTAATTTATTAAGCTCGGGCACTGGAAAAGTTTTTTCCAAAAATCTTTGTAAAGCGATTAGCTGCTTCAAAATATGGATTGGGTTACTCCATGATTGATATAACTTTTATTAATTGTATAGTTTGCATTCATACAAATACTAATATGCAAAGTTTTCCATAACGTATTAAATAAAAATAGCCAGTTGTATTAACTCTATAATTCCCCTTTTTTAGCAACTAGGAAAAAAGTTCGCTGAAGAGTCAACTGCCCACCCTAGTCCACTTCAAATACAAGGGGACATAACTCCCAAATTCAAAACTAACAAAATTCGTCTATTTTTTAGATTATGCTATTTTTCTTTCCATAGTTATTATGTCTATTAATTATTAATTAACGAAGTTACAAGAAATATATTAGTCAATTTTACCTCTACTTCACTTATTTTGTCTTATATTATATCTTAACATAACAAGTTAAACAAGTTCGTTAACTTGACCTACCTTGGAATTTTATAGCAATAAATTTCAATTATTTTAAGATTAATGGTGTAATTTTGAAACAAAATTTACATAAACATCTAATGTTTGGTTCAAATATTTATCGAGGTAGTAATACTGTAATAACGCTAAACTCATAAATTAGAATGAACTAAAAAGGCGCAAAACACACACACACACACACAGAAATGCTCTTGACTGGTGATAAGATTTAGTAATCCACTTGAAAAAAAACCTCAATACCTTTAAAACTTATCCGAATGTTAGGTACCCTGCAGGTGGCATACGTATTAACAATTGCGTATTATATATGTATACCTGTATAGTGTAAATTTGGTAGGTTGGTAAATTATTAAATCTTTTATTTCTGAAATTTGAGGAAAACACATCATCGAAACTCAATTGTAGTAAATATAAGGCATACCAAAGACAAGAATGTACGTGTTTTAAAAAACATTCAAACCGAAAATATGCAAATAAATAAAGAAACAGAAAGTGCCTGTCTATTTTACAAATCATAGTGGAAAATAATCTTGCTAATTAAAAAAATTCAAACGCAGTACCTATCTACAGATATATTTATAAACTTAAAATACACCGAAAAAACATTTTCCTATATTTAAGTATAATTTCAATATTTCTTTTAATATGCCTTATCGTGCATACATAATGCATGTGTGGTAATTTCATTAATTTATTTTTGTACATACTTTATATTTTAGGTGTAACATTCAACTCCAAATAAATTTTAAATCCTTACTATTCTGTACATTTACATTTATAAATAGTTTAGTTTCTTTTCATATTTATATGATATACATTATACGTAATATTATATTATAAATATTGTAATTGTGCTGATGGGAATTGTTCCTTAAACTCGTTATTGATTTTAAATAACCAAATATTAAATATGAACTCAAAATATCGAACTCTGAAAAAATATACTCAACTTTTGTAGTACATTTTTCTCATTGAAGTTCAAAATGAAAGAACTCTACGACAACTGTGTAAACATCGTTTAAGAGCATAAATATGATAAAATAAGTAATCATTAAAGAATGAAACTATGTTTTCAATTTCATGTTATTTGTATAATGGAAGATGTAAAAAAAATTATTCTTGAATCGACCAAACTTAAAAGTAAAAATAATATTTACTCGTTACAGATTTGCGGTGTTTGGATTGGGCTCGAGTGCGTATCCAAACTTCTGTGCATTTGGATCGTATGTTGATAATCTTCTGGGTGAGCTTGGCGGAGAGCGACTCATCAAACTCAATAAAGGCGACGAGATGTGTGGCCAAGAGCAAGCCTTTAAAAAATGGGCTACTGATGTTTTTCATGTGAGCAGACTTAAAACAATGTTGACATCAAAAGTATTTATTTTATATTTCCAATTTATTGCTTTTCGTCGGAAAAGCTTTTGTATTCAGTTCAAACGTGTACGGTGATCCTTATTATTTAATACTTACAGCGATGTCTTCTAATAAATCATCAAAAATATTAAATTAAAAACCGATGATTATACGAAAACAACCACAAGATTACTCTTATTTGAAAACCCCCTGTAATATCGCAATCTAGTAGAATAAAAATAAAGAGAACTGTAAGTAGGGAGGTAAAGTTCCCACGTTGGCCATCAATGTTTAGTAGAATAAAGATAAAAACGCCACGGTATAGAGGAAATAAGAGATGTTAAAAATATAGTAATGACTTGCGAGTATGACTTTGATTCGATTTCCTACTATTTTATGGATACGCTCGTGTAATTTTCATTCTACTACTAAATATTGTCGTTCCCATGTAAAGAACTATAATTCTGTTTTTGACTTAAATAATTCCAAATGTAATGTCACTTACCTTGTTTGTAGTGATTCGATGAGCATTTTTGTTGCAATCCTTAATTATCCATGCATGGACTAATTCTACAATTGCGTACCTATACGTTATGTTATACAATTTTGTTGTAACAACCTGATGTTACTTATTATAGTGTGCTACGTTTAAGAAATTAAATTATTCCAGAAATTATTTTCATAGAATATGTTGATTTTTATTTGTAATACACATGGGACACCTTATAATTATGGATGATTTATTATGTATCCAAGATATTTTTTTCATGTTTATAGACTTTATACATTGATACGTCCAAAATATGAATATCCAGCCTTGAGAGTAATTTAATTTAAATGAGACTTTTAGAATATTATTACTTGATTATTAGAGTTTATGAAAATACCATATACTGGTATAATTAATTTCTAAAATATGAGTATCTTAAGGGTGTTTCCAAAAAAATGTCCTTTCAAAAATACTGAACATAACCCGATACAATTATATTGCAGATATACTCTAAAATCCAGCCTTTGAGAGCAATGAGATGTGAACTTTTAGAATATTATCATTTGATTATTAGGATATTTTGTTGTTAGATGTAGTTTATTTAGTTTATAAGTTTGTACATTTACATTTGAGGAAAGGAGACAAAAATGTATTGTACATTTTATGGCAATGTCGAAAAGGTAGTGCATAACATAACGTTTTTGTTTGAAAAATCAGAAGTATGAATTTAAACCTATGCAAATACTAAAATCAGTGCAATAATTTAACTTAAATTGAAAATGTTCGATTAGAAGTTAATTTTTAGAAAAGAAAAAAATTTGAGGGTGTCACTGCCTCACCGGTGTTGAGTGATGTGAATTTCGTGACCAATGTCGACTTGTGGACATGCACTGATTTTATAGAGATGCATTGTGCTTGTAGAGATGTACTAAATGCTGCGTTTTGCCAATATTGCACGTTTCCATTATATGACCGGTTTTGTCCCCTCTTAGATTTTCGCAACGCTGTATCACGTGTGCCGGCTGCCTGGCCTTGACACCCAAGCAAGGCTCGACTAATTAATGATATTTTTTAACACAAGTTAAGTTAAGTATTTGTCTTTTCAATTAAATTAATAATTCAGTTAATTGATATTTTTAATATATCGATTAAGTTTAAAATGAGTTAACAAATACTATTAACTTGACTTAATTTCAATTAGGTAATAAGTTAAGTAAATGCAAATTAAAAAATGCATTTAAGTGTAAGGTAATATATGCATAATAAAATAAATAATAGTCACTTGATAAAATATATAATATTAGATTTCATCTAAAAATATAAGTACAAAATTCTTCGTAAAAATATTGTTTTTTTCTGATTACATTTTCTGCATTCTGTAGAACTTATTATTATAAACCGTAAACAAAATAAGCAAAATATTTTTGTGGATAATACAAAAATTCAAAATTAACTTAATTGAGAGTATAAAAAAAATATGAGTTAATTTTAAATTAACGTAGAGTTAAAATTAACTTAAATTTTTATTTAACTTCTAACTCATTGCCTAATTATTTCCCAGCTTTGCGTGCAAATGCAATGCCTATATACTCTGCATTGAACTTCGTGTATTGGCTTGCATTTGTTGCATAATTTTGTTGAAGAATTATATTTCATTTGTGCTTAAATCTTTACTTGTAATTTGCTTCAAAAATTAATGTTTTTTTTTTAAAGTATTATTCTCGTGATTTAGCGTACTCGTGCGTGCTTGTTCTGTGACTTGTTTGTTTACGTCAATTTGTTGATTTTTAATGTTTTGTATATGTATAGTGAAGGATGTGAAACAAATAAAGAAATTTTAAGTTTTTAAGTTTATAGGTTACTTTATTTTTGATGATTGGTCCTTGTATAATATGTTGGTCTATTTTTTAAAATATCTATGAGTTGTATATAGATTCGGATGCTGATCGCGCATTAGTTTGATTTTTGTATAATTACCTTGTTATTGTAAAAAAAATGTATGATTTATAGTAATATTGTTGAGTTATTTCTTTTGATAGCTGCGCAATCGAAATTTTTTCATTGATCTGTTATTGATGGTTTCATCATATAATAATTTTTTTGAGTCATCTCTTCTTTCATTCTTTGTCAGATTTTTTTCGTATGAAAATATGAGCATACATTTGTGCGTGGACTGTTAGGAATTTCAGTAGTTTTAATGTTGATATTATTTATGATTATGATATATAGAAGCTAATTATTTTATAATTCATAAAATGTTTAAATTAATAAATTACGTTTTGATTTTCTACACACGTATATAGTCAATGTTGGTATTAAATCATTTTATGTATTTAATAATGTAGAAATTAGATATATAATAAATTACAATAATATCATCAGTTTAGTATAAAATATATTTTCAATCGGCTTTTATAACATTATACAACATTTTTTTTAGCTTCTGTGTTCCGTTTTTGGGGCCAGCCTAGCTACTAACACTGTTCTCATTATTTAAAAATATAAAGGACTAACATATTGCACACCATTAGGTTGCGTGTGAAACGTTCTGTTTGGATATGGACGAATCTCTTAGCGAAGCCTCACAAGTACTTCATAACGAAAAGCTGTCCGCGTCTACAGTTCGATTCGTGAATAATGCTGAACCGGACGATCTCCATTCCGGTACGTACAAGACGCATACAAATTAAATGTTTTTAGCATCGACAATTGACACCATGGTATACAATTGATGTATTTGTTTATTCTAGCATATGCGCACTATCACAACAAACGAGTTTGGACGTGCAGACTCTCCAACAAACAGAACTTAATGAGTGACAGCGAAGATGGCAAGAGTGACCGCGTGACACTGTGGCTGGAGATTGACGTTGATGATTGGGCAAAATCGGAGAAAATAATGTATCGACCCGGCGATCACGTGGGCATGTTTGCCACCAACCGAGATGAACTGGTATCTGGTATTATTCCGTACTTGCAATGTGATCAAGATCCCGACGAACCGATGGAACTTCAAATGCTCAAAGAAAAACACACATCATCAGGTACAGTTAGTAATAAACATCAACTTTTAAGTTGAATGTATATGAAAAATAAATGTGTGTGCGCAGTTTTGGATTTATTTTTATGTCTTAGACATAATAACATGCGTGCTCCTATAAATGCATACAAAATTAATTGAGTGAAATCTGCCATTACAGATGTATGCACATATTATTTTCCCGAAGAATAGTAATTTTATCCAAATCGCAAAACGGTAACAATAATGTATTGAAAGAAAACGTGAAATATTTTTTTTGGCATTTAAATATTTAAATTTTTGAAAATTTAAATTCGAAAACATACATTTCGTTCGTCACGAATTCCATTTATAAAAATAATTTATTTATGTAACTGGGTTATTTTTTTAAATTGCCTTCATCCCGAAATAAAGAAAATGTAAAATAAAAATAATTTACTGTCGTACATAGTCATGAGTTAAATACCTATTCAATTTTTAATAGGTACTATAACTAGAAAAACTCATAAACTTACACTGCAAAACTCGTGCTAGCCGATGACAGTCAACTGCAGAATCTAAGCCCCACATAATAGACCGTATTCTAAGATAAGTTTCGCAAGTGAAATTTATGACTCTAGAAAAGTAGAAAACTTTAAATCACCAACCATCCACTTATAACAAACCCAACGTTTTGAGAGTCCTTGAACATAGTTTAGCTTTTTTTATTCATAATGAATAGTATTACGAAGCTGTAAATTACTGGGCGTACATAATTAAATACTCACATCAAAATAAATGTCCATTTGTAGATTAACTAAATCGTATTTTGAATTCATGATAATACCTATGTATATCATACATAATTTTTTCTTATGCCCATTGACGTTGTTGGTTCTTTAAGGTGTCTCTAAGAATTGGTCGCCCCACGAGAAGATACCAAGATGCTCTTTGCGAACTTTATTGACACGATTCTTAGACATCACTACGCCGCCTACACCAAATATGCTACAATTTTTCGCTTCGTGTGCCACTGATCCCACTGATAAAAAGAATCTCATAGCATTAGCAACAGTAAGGCATTATCACATTTTGTTTTATGTCACTATTTTAAATTTTTATTTTCCGTGTTTATAGGATAGTGCCGCTTACGAAGATTGGCGTCATTGGAATTTACCCAATCTTCTAGAAATTTTCCAAGAGTTTCCTTCTATTAAACCACCCGCTGCTTTATTAGTCGCACAGCTTACACCGTTACAACCGCGATTTTACAGTATTTCTTCGTCAAGTTTATTACATCCACACAAAGTGCACCTCACTGTCGCAGTAGTGACTTATAAAACTAAAGGTAATTTTGATAAAAATTTAACATAAGATTAAAATATAACTAAATGAGTATACATATTAAGTATACCTAGGTGATTTTTTTTTTGTGAACCGAGTAATAGGTACAGGTCTAATCCAGACATTATACGATTTTATTTTACTAAAAAAATAGCATGCCCATAATTTAAAATCTTTGTATGATGGATGGATAAGGTACTATTAAGTTCATGAAAAAAAAATAGTAATTAAGTAATTAAGTAGAATATTAAAACTATATACTATTAAAATAAAAACATTGGTTTGAATGTACAAATCACTATCGTTTTTATTTTTGTTAAGGCGGAAAAGGTGTATTACATTATGGCGTATGTTCCAATTACTTGTTGGATGCTAACATAAATGACACAGTGTACATGTTTATTAGAAGGTAATTATAGTAATTATTATTATTAATAATTGTTTCTGAACCAACATAATATTATTATCGTGTCACCATTGACGATCAATGGAGCAATAACACTGTTGACTATAGTGTGAACAGACCTACCTACCTAATATATTATTGTAAACGTCTTTAATAACCGTTTCTTTTTCAATTCGTAGCGCACCAAATTTCCATTTGCCCGAGGACGTGGCAAAGCCATTAATACTTGTGGGTCCCGGCACAGGTATCGCACCGTTCCGAGGGTTTTGGCAACACAGATACGCACAGAAGAAAAACGGCATTGGTAAACACAACACGTTTTCATATCACCCATTATATTATAATATATAAATTATTATAATAACATTAACACGTCAGTTGTACAAGCGTTGTGCTCACTACCCTTTTGTCCGCCACAGATACCAAAATGGGCAGAACCATGTTGTTCTTTGGATGCCAATACAAATCGATGGATCTCTACAAAGCGGAAAAGATGGAAATGATAAAAGAAGGTGTATTGGACAAGACTTACTTGGCGCTATCCAGGGAACCATCCATTCCGAAGGTCAGTTCAAATTCGAATATTGAAACAATATTTATATTTAAATATAGGTACAAATGATTTGGATCGAATACGTCGCATAAAATGTTTTCGATTCACGTGGAGATCCAGAATACTGCATAACATCGTCGTCAGCTCTATATAATAACATGCTCAATCCAATAAACATTTTTTCTAAACGTTGAAAGAATAATAAACTGTTTTTATTCGTAACCAATGTGTATTTAAACTGTTAGCAGCTTGTGTGTCTATTAATATAGTACAGGTGCTAATGAAATCAAAAATACACAAGTCACACTCCTGTAGTCCTGTAAGACATCTTATAAAACCCTCATGATGTTAAATTCAATATTATTTATTTCAGAAACATATTTTATTTAAATTTCGTTCTAACTTAAACTCTCACAGTAACCTTTTAATCAAAAACTATCCTGGGGGACGAGGTGACCGAGTGGTCTGACTCTTCCGCTGCGACGCAGCAGGACACAGTTCGATCCTCGGCCACCGGGCGGCATTTTTCTCCGGACAAGTCGCGGTGACCGGAGAGCAAGTGCTGCCATCCCCCACCCCCGGGGCATGGCAGAAACCTACGGGTGCCCCATTCGAAATTCTGCCAAAACAAACACACACGTGTTCCCCCTACCGTTCCAAAAACCTACAAACCATCAATACAAAAACCTACAGTACCTACTAATAGCTAATGGCCACAGTTGCCGGGCTCAGGATCAATTAAAAAAAAAAAAAAAAAAACTATCCTCCATTTTACTCCCTATAATGTACGTAGAAGCCTCGAGAAACAGGGGCTAAGAAAATATGAATAAAAAGATTAAAAAACCTTAAGATGATACCTAAAGAGTACCACCAAGTCGGTGCCTGCCCATAAATGCTAACCTCCTGTCACTAACCATTATTATCAAATTCACTCGTTGTATAGGTACTTATTGTACTGCATAGGTTATAAATAGGGCTCGGATTTATATGTATTTATTTAACCAAAGTATGTATTTATACAACAAAAATATGTACATAAATATGTGCTAAAAAATGTATAATATGTATTATCAAAAAACAAAATTATGTACATAAATATGTGCTAAAAAATTTATAATATGTATTATCAAAAAAAAAAAATATTATTATTAATTAAAATGAAATGTAATAAAAAAAAATATTTATCTAACTATCTAATTATTATGGTTACAATTAATAATGACATGCATTTTTAAATTTTCGAATTCGAAAGATCGCCGATTATGTCGTAAAATTGATCTATATCGACTGAAAGATCTCTCAACTTCGACTGATGTTATAGGACAATATTGCACGTTGACTATGTCTGAAGGAGAAAGTTCTACAGTATTATTTTGTACTTTTTGAAACATGGGCAAGTCTGTATTAATAAATAATAAATCGTAAATGAACAAATTATCGAAATATGTAGGAAAAATGGAATTATTGAGAAATATGTAAAAACATGTACTTATGGCAAAATATGTAAAAATATGTAAAATAAAATATAGTTCATTTTATTGGAAATCCCTTGAAACGAATTTATCACTTACCTAAATTAATTTATCAAGTCACAGTAAAAATATGTATTTACATATAAATCCGAGCCCTAGTTATAAATAATTTAATATGAAATAAAAAATTATTTATAAAAACCTAATCGTAACTACTAGTCATGCTTTATATAACTGTTGAAAATATATGATTTTAAGCGAATGTGCATTCGAATCATTGACCATGCATCCACTCAAAACGATGTAAAATTAAAATGATACCTATTGTGTAATTGTTATTACTCGTATAATATAATACGCCAGTGACAATTAAACGAACCCGCTGTCTAATTTAACAATATTTTCGTTTCCACAGACTTATGTACAGGACTTGATGCTGAAAGAAGCGAAAATTATATACGAATTAATAGCCGTGGAAAGGGGACACTTTTACGTGTGCGGTGATTGTAAAATGGCTGAGAACGTGTACCAGACCCTCAAGTCGATAATTCAAGAGCAGACCGGCATGAATTCGACACAGTCCGATAACTTCATGTTGGGATTACGGGTACGTTCATACGAGATTTATGGTGATCGAGGCCAAAATGTCAAGAACGATATTTTTACTTTTTTAAGCACGATTTTAAGAAACGCATTCAAGCCATATCCACAGAATAGTGTGAAATACCTACTCGAATACCTATGTTTTATTTCATATTTTGAAAGTCACATGATCATATTTGAATATAAGAATATAGGGGGGGGGGCTAACCCCAAATAATAATTCCCGAAACCCAATCCCCTCCCAAAAAGAAGTTCACGAGTATTATGCTATTTTATATCACTTATAAATAGTATTAGAACAATACGATGTCACCACAAAATCATACATACATTGAAAAATACGTGTTTTATTTATATTTAGTCAACATTTAATGTCTGCAAATATTTTTATTTTTGGCCCTGCCCATTTCATATCAGAAATAAAAACATTTTGTTTTATTAAAGGTTGTTTTACTCAATAAAAAATTAAAAGTTAAACACATTTTTATAGTATAATCCTGTTTGATTATTACTAATTGTCATTTATATATTATGTTTAATATAATAATATTTCATTTTATTCCACATGGATAATATTTATAATACATTTTATTTAATTATTTAAAGCATAGGTTGGGCGGAGAATGGAGGTCTATTCAAATTTGTTTGTCTGATTAAATGTCAGTTAAATTTAAAAAAAAATTCAGCCAGCCCCATAAATTTACCATACCACTGCCTATTTAGTTATATTAACGCTCGATGAGTAGTAAATAATATCATGATGAGATCATACAGGTACCATTGTCCATGATTATCTACTATATTATACAACATGATTTAACGCCAAACGATATAGAAATATATTTCTGGATAAATAACAAAAAATTATTACAAGCGCTTTCTAATAATATGATATGAAATATGAGGATTTTTTTTTGTCCCATCCCTGTATAGAAGGAATTTTAAAACTCAAAGCCACGCCCTGCTAACCCACCCGACCTGATGCTAAGTCCTATACAAATTGTATTTATAGCGAGTTCCCGTTCTTCTCAAAAAATGAAGGTCTACGAGATAGGCACACGTCACTGATTCTTGGCATCGCGTTACGCTGTGACTTATACATCACAATATACTCATCGTCGTATATAATATACGATAGGTATACAAAACAAAAAAACACCTATATTGTTATTTATATCATATTATATCGTATATACGTTTTTATCGGTAAAAACGCACATATTATTACATTATTTATACCTCTGCGCAGGCGTGTTTAATAACGAATACCGAATACCGAATACCTAATATGATGACGGTGACCGAGGATTGTGATCTAAACACAATTATAATAATACAGTCGATAAATATCATAATCCCACGAGTATTTCATCTTTGGATCGTGATAATCCTATCAGTGTATGTCACACTAATGACATTATTGAGCAATTTATCGAACTGTGATGTACACCTACATGATTTTCAACTTTGCATGATCGAGAATGATGAGTGATGACCCGTGGCACGCGCGTTCGAGAAATAATAATTTAGTGATTCCTTCGCGAAATTGTATCTTAAAAAACGATGAATAATTATGTGTTTACACATTTTGAAAAACATATTGAGTATGGGACGTTAGAAATTTCGAATTATTTGATGGTGGACCCACCGGCAATGCACGCCATAAATGCAATATACTGATGTACTATTATTAACTATATAAATATGTGTTGTACAGGACGATAACCGTTATCACGAAGACATATTCGGCATCACTCTCCGGACGGCAGAGGTGCACAACAGTTCAAGGCTTTCCGCTCGGATCCGAATGGCGTCCGAAACGCTTCCATAACGTTCAATTTGGCCTACAATAGGCAACATGTTGGCTAAGTCAATAGCAACGATACAAGAATTTAGAGACAAAAAATTGTAAACATTTTACCCTTTATAAAGTATACGTAACTTATTATATTATTATACTTTTGTAGACACGAGTGTAAAAATATTTTTATTTTTTTCGGATATTTCCAAATTCACAATTATATGATAATTATTTATATTAATATGATGTGCTTGTCCAGTTATCCCCCTTTCTTCTACGCACACCCACTCATCAAGTCACCATCACACACACACACACACACACACACACACACACACACACACACACACACAATCATCGTCCTATGACCCGCCCGCGTTTGTGCAGTGAGTAGGAATATAATACTGTATACAACCCACTCTCCGAAAACATAAAACGTCTTTGCCCATTAATAATTGGATACTTCAAAAATGTGAATAAAATGTTTCCGTTATTTTTTTTTTTATGATTTCGTGTCCTCGTTCTGGCGATGTACGTACTACCCACTTATACGTTTTAAAATATTCAACGTTTTAAACGATCTCACATAGTATGGGTATGCGTGTGTATAATAATTAATGAAAACGCGCACGTTTCCGTTTTGTTTCGATTTCGGTTGATCAAAAAACCATATTACACAATATGATTAATGTATATTGATATGGCGCCAGTGAAAACGATTTTTGAAATGTTGTCAGATATAATATTGTAAAGTTATTTATGAATTCAATTTTAATTAATTCAACAGCGTTTGTAATTTAGGCAATATAACTGTACATATTACACATTATACATTACACTTAGGTATAGTATTATATTATATATATGGACATAACTATATGTAGGTACCTATATTATATATATGAATGTAACTTTAACAATACTTATGCGATTGAAGTGTTGTTAGTTAGGTATATTAATTGTATTTCAACGTACTTAGTAAAAGCATTCAATTTTAATAGTGTAAGTCACCAATTCTTTACTTTTTTATGTCCTAGTACAAATTAGAAATGTTCTCGAACCACTTGAAACTAATATTTAATGTTTAATATAAATGATAATTATAATTGTTTTCTTAAAGACACGTACCACCTACCAGAATTTCGCGTTTCTATCTATTGAGAACTTCTGATTTAAGTTAATAATTAAATAGTTGTAGTTTAACGTAAGTAATACTAACCATGAAATTCATCTTGAATTCGTTTGTAAAATATCCTCTATTGTATAAAATACATATAAATATATTCTTTTACGTTACCAAAAATATTTACATTTAAATCTTTTAAATCTATATTTAATTAAACAACAATACATGGTTTTCATTATTATCTTATAATCACTTTAACGCGTCAATTTATTCCATTTTTTTTTTAATAATGTTATATTGCTCTATACATATATTTCTTATTATAATATATACTTATTATCTTTGTTATTTTATACTATAATGAGTGTACTTAAATATTTTTATCGTTTTTCGATTAATAATTTTTAAAAAAAATCATTCCTATTGCTATTAATTATTATTATATGTAAATATTGTATTGTTTTTCGATTTAATTATGTAATATTATATTATATACCTAGATAATATTCTAGGCGTACGCAGATGTTTATATGGTATCTAAATATTGTTGTTCAGTTATTTAAATCGTATTAAAATTTATCTACTCATTATTTTCTTTGAAACATAATTAGATAATTCAAACTAATAAATCCATTTGTTAATTATAAAAGTTATACAAATATGTCTTATGAAAATTGTGAGTTTTTATTTTATTCTGATGGTATTCTATCGGTATAATAATTTTTCCATTACTTAAAATATACGTACTGTAAATAGTGTGGTATGAATAATATTAATAATTAGGGTTTGTCTTTGTATTTATAGGGTAAAATTTGATCTAAATATTTTTTTTAAAAAGTGAGGTGTCACGAGATGCCTATATAGCTACAGATGTGAAACATCGAAATCAGTGTGTATAGAAATTAGAAAATATGCATGAAAATTGAATGTAGGGCTTATTAAACAAAATAAACATGGCATAATAAAAAAACAAAATATTAAGAATTTTAAGGAAATATTCTTAATTTTAAAGGCGAATTAGATGTTTCAAACGTGTAATTAGTATTTAAGTAAAGAAAATAATAATTAAAAAAATTGTCAAAAGTTTCAATATTCTCTAGTGATGTTATTCTGAACTACAAACAAAAATAAAAATTAATCGATTTCCTCAAACATTGGTGTTGAGTAAATATTCCATTTTTCCGGTAGTATTTTTTTAGTTTTTCTTAATTATTGAAAAAAATAACTAGGAATTGTCTTATTTTAACCACCAAAGTACCAATACTAGATAGTAGATAGAATATTCTACCAAAAACAAGCACCAAGATTGAAGCAAATTATCTACTCCCAGACGAGACAAAAATAAACTCACTTCATTATACTTATAATATTATATAAGTAGTTACTACCTACTTAAACAAATACTTTTCTTGATCCATTTAGAACCTAGAGCAAAACTAATTGTAATATAATTGTACGACAAAGACGTATAACAGTCGTTCTGGATTTATACATAAATACCTAGAATCGGAGCATGAATAACATTTTACAACTCTAACTTTCACTCTTCAGACAATAATTAAAGTAATCAAAATAATTAAACATACTATATTATTATTGATTATAATATGTATCAAAAATCAATATCAATTTTGAGGAAGAAACAAGTACATATTAGTATAATTTTTATAATGTGTACATGTACAAGATAGGAAATTGTAGGTATTATTTTGACAACCGGGGCTAAAGGTCTAATATAACAATGATCAAAATATCGTGCAGGTTATTGAAACAATTATTTATACTCACTTCAAAAATAAACTAAAAATATTCTCATTCCGTGTTGGTAGATCAAATTTACAAAATGGAAGATACTACTTATTTTACTAATTTCTACCTATAATAATCTACAGCTAGATAATGAATTCATTAAGAAAAATCCACCGAAACAGTCGATTCGCGGATAGTTATAGACTATAACTTTTGTCGAGGTATTACAGTCACGCGCCGTAACGAAATATGTATTCCTATATTAAATCCGTTTACCGAGCCACCTACACAGCAATGTACTGAAATCGCCTATTCATTACGCCGGTCAGTGGTTTTACGTCGTAATAATATAAAAATGTCAATAAATTGTTGTAAAAAATAATGAGGTTTTTTCCCTAAAAATCACTCCATACAAACTACATGTAGACGAGGTAAAAATTTACCTTACCACAGAAGCCACCAACCCAAAAGTATTTAAAATGCATTTTTAAAAATAATGCATAAAAAAAATTTTTTTTTAATTACTTGACAAACCAAATTGAAATAAAAATTGTAGTATTAAAATGTTTTATGCTCCTCATAGATGTGTATAAAAGAATTAAATGGCCACTTTTAGCTGATATTCAGTGATTTTAACCGCAAAAATGCATGCATATTTCGATAGTTTTAAGTGCTCATGCAGTCATACTTTCGGGCTACTAAGTTCTAACTCAGGTAGTCAGGTATAGCTTATAAATTATAACTTAGTTCTAAGTATTTTAAGTTTTGATATGCATAACCACATGGTACAATTGTACCCCGAAAAATGTTGGTTCACTACTTCGCTGATCAAAACTTAAAATATTTATAGCTATATACTGTGTTGTAACTACTTGTTCAAAATTCGATTTTTATGGATCAGTTATTATTTATTATGAATAATATTTTGCTTCAAAGTACAATAAATTAGAAATTTTTACTTTCAATGATATTAAAAAAATGTTAAGACATTTTGAAATAATATAGCATTCATGCTTGTAGACACTTAAATGAATCATCTGGCTCGTATACTAATAATTAATAACTAATATGTGAGTATATCGTATATATTATGTACCTATTTACAGGTCCTAAATAATATATAGATACCCCACCTTAAAATGATATAGCATCAAGTTTTTTTGTAATTACTTATAAAATAACGATTTTATACGAGCCCATTGGTACATTAAAACCTCCCTGTAATATATGCCAGTATTTACTCGATCCCTTTCCAAAATCTGCCCCTATCGCATTTCCTGCTTTTAAATTAGTAATCAGCTCGTTACGCAAAATCTCTAAATACTTTCAAATAATATTAAAAGTTAAAGAATAGGTATATCTTTTATTCAATGATATAATACGAAAATACGAAAATAAGTCATTGAATACATATTCCATTCTAATACATGTTTTTCACTTTAACATATTAAATATCAAATACTTTATAGGGGTGTCAAAAGTAAACATTTCCCAGTGTCCTCCAACATAATTTATAAATTCAACACCTACCCAAAGAGTAAAAAAAAATTATCTAATGCCGACTGTGCACATTCTCACCACAAAACAAAAAATTAAATCCTAATCATTAAATCGTAATTAAAATCAGATTTGAAATCACCAACATAAAACATTTATAATTTTCCATTAAAATATCAAATAGAAAAATAGTCCAAAAATTGCATAATGAGTTTTTCACTACGCTTACGTATTACAGGTACCCAAATGCGACCCAAAGTGACCTTTTTTTCCTTTTTTCAATTCCCGATTACGACCCTTACAAATTTAAGCGAGAAATACTGTTTTCGGGGATTATTAAAACTAAACAAATATCATCCCAATCACGTCTAACGTATTTTGTTACAAATATAATACAGCGCATAAGCGCGTTCAAACGAACTAACAATATTCCACGAACATATTTTAATAATATTTAGTCTTCACGCATAATTAAATTCATTATTTTTTAATATTTAAATAATTTTAAAATGTTATAACATTTTAAACAACGCCAAACATGCCTAAATAGTAAGACATTTATGTATAATTATTCATTTGTTCCATAAAAATTAATTTATGAACTTCCAAAAATTATACTATTATAAGTTTACTGTATTAATAATTGTCCATGACTGATTAGTATTCAAAAGTTGAGATTTGTGTAATGAATTTAAGGCTCGGGACTTCTAGGAGTTTGCATGTTTTTAAATAATCATTAAAAACATAGCTAAGTAAAATAGAAATTTGTTTCATAGCATTACAAGTTAATATTTAAAATTTATAGTTGCATATTTTGCATATTTGACCATATTTCATTTATAAGTGCATATTTGACCATTTTTCATTTTATTAGTGCATGTTTGACAACATTATTTATACGAGAAGTGAGTTTTTAGTTTTATAAAAAAATTGTATTTTAAATAGATTTCCTGGACCGGATATAAATATTCAAAAATTAATGTTTGCGTTTTTCTTGCCTATCATTATAACTGTATTGTTATTTATCGGTATAACACACTCGTGATTCCCGATAGGCGATAAGCCGATAATGATACCAAAAAAACTATGACTAGTTGTAGATAGAGGCCAAACGATCCCCTGAATAGCAAGAGTTGACAGTTGGTGTCGTGCGTTCTTCGCATTTTGGTTTCGTGAAGTGTTTTTTCTTTCGAGTGAGCCCATAATAAAATAATTAAAAATGCCTAAACCAAAACCATATGATCGGCTTAACGATTTTGTAAAAGAATATCATTTTTTTTAAATGTATATTTTTAATAGCATATTTATTGATTCTTTAGGGCATAAATGCTTGCATATTTTAAGGTTTTTAAAGGCATGAAGTCCCTAGCCCTAGACTAATGATGAATAAAAAAATGAAATAATATTTTATTTTATTTGTACTTCTTTTATTCATGAGTAGATATGTTATTTTGTGAACCAGTGTGTTACTGTGTTTAGACGCAATCCGGGCATCTCCGCATACTACAGGTACTATAACTGCTGTTATTACACAGTGTCTTGTTGTGTTTTGTTAGTTTATACAGGAAGTTATAAATGGTCCGAAATTGTATTCCAACATTAAAAAATTAAACAACTGAAATGGCATGCATTATTATTTTAACTATACATCATATATTTGTATAATGTATATAGGGTACTCGTCGTACCACCTATTTAAAAAGTAATTATTCAGAGATCGGTCGCTTATCTAACAACCATCAAGATTTTGTTAAGACATGACAGTAAATTCACAAATTTTCTTATGCTAAATTTAATACATTAAAAAAATATATTTCTGTATCTAAACTCTGAATTACCATAAAATATGCAACCATCTGTGAACCATAAGCCTACAATATCCGCACAGAAAATACATGCAACTTTTGGGTTATTCTAAATCGACAACTGTCGTCTACCCTTAAAAACACTACAAACATCCTTATTATTACCAAAAATTTCTCACAAAATGCTAGGAAATCTAAAATATTATAAGAATGACTATTGACGGAGACGAACAATTTTTTTCCAAGTTTATTATAGTATCACAGGTAATCCATTTTCTGTGAGAAACTCAATATTTCAGAAAACATTAACGGTTTTTAAGTTTTTTTACACTTTTGAATGTTAACTAAATAATAACGCACATGTGTTGATATACTAAAATCATGATAATAATGTCACATTTTTTTTATTATAGTAATTTATTTATCAGACATTTAAAATAAACCGTTAATAATATATTTAATTGTAAATAATTGTTTGGAATAATTCATAATTATTAACTATAATCGTAGTATTAATTATATAAAACATAAAAAAATATTTTGACATGAATATTATAATTCATAAATTAATAATATTCATGTTTACAATCAGTAGAAGAAATATGAAACCCAACAATGTTCCCAATAAATAAATAGACATATTTGTGTTCATTAACAACAAGTGAACAAATGTATTAATTTTTATAAAATTGTATGATTTCTAGTTTCTACCAGTACCGCAACCCGGAAGGAAGGTAAGAGTTATGACTACCCCCCCCCCCCAACTACTTTTTATTATATTATAATTTAATGTTACCCAGGTATAAAGTGCAATGTATTGACCCCCCTCCAAAAAAATTGTATACTCCATTAGCGTTAAGAAGGACCTTGGCGGACGATTTGAGCACAGGGGCATGACTTAACCACACGGATTGTTGACTTGGTTGGACTACCGCCTCACAAAAACTGGTCAAAGCTAGGTTCCTTCCTAACGTGAATAGAGTATAGCTACGCCACTAATTTCAACACTTGTTGGGAATGACAACAAATATCTGATATTGATCAATAAACATAATGAATAGCCAATTGGAGATTTTAACCAAATGAGCAATAAATTAGTTTATAATATGTATTATATAATTAAAATAGTTTTATAATTAAATAAAATGTATAAGCCCTTGTTGGCTTATAAACTATTAGAACTGTTAATATAGATAAAGCAATTAAAAATTAAATAAACAAATATATATGAGGGTTGATGCAGCATGGTGATACAATGTTATAAAAATGCAGTTATTTTTAAACCATGCCAAAAGTTGACTGTAAATGTTATATTAGCATTAATTGTAATGGCATTGAGAAACATGTAGCTCTTTTTAAAATAATACGTATAAGAGATTTATTTTTTAGATTTTACATTGAACTATTATGTTTAATTATCAAGGCTCAAAAGTTGATGCATTGTGAGTTTTTTATTTATTGAAGTAGGCTTTAATCTGTCAAGCTAAAAATCTAATTTAGATGTTCTAAAAACAGTATCTACAATTTTTATTTTACATTTTTCGGTGTTATTTCTTAGAGATGTCATTAAAATAATTTAAAATAATTTTTCTGATTTTTGACATCATTTTTTTGAAAAATATAGCGAAATCCTCTTATACATACATTTAATATTTTCTATCTTTAATTATTTATTTATTATCTTTTAGAATAACAAAAGAAATAAATTCTAAAATTATCTACTTGTCCTAGTTATGTATGAGTACACTCATAATAGCAATAATATACCACAAATGCAATACTCAGCTGGTTTTCCCGATAAATGATAATTGTTAATATATAGGTATATAATGATAATTTAATATATTTGATGAGGTATCATTATTATTAATTTAAAACATTTTATTGACATTGCTTTAAATTAAGATTTCAATTCTTAACATGTTTAAAAAAAAATTATTTTTAATCAAAACAAACAAGTTATTTTTTTGCATTTTATGAAAATATTTCGATCATTTTTTTAATCATTTTTAAATAATTGATATACTATTTGAAGTCACTTTAAAAGTGTTTTAGGTCATCAACTTCAGAGCCCTATAAATGATGTACGAAAATACCTAACCAGAGTCTTGTTTGATAATTTATAAATGTATAAGCTACAGTTATTCAGTCATTTGTACTACTAAAGGTGAAAACTGAAAAACATCTTTTTTCTATACATATTAAGGAAATAAATTAATATAAACAAAAAAGAATTTCAAACATGATTTTAGGGGTTTCTTCTTTTATTAATAAAGTCTAAAGTTTTTGTGCAATATTGCAAGTAAAAAAGGTATACACCTTAACAGTTATTTTAACCTAAAATTGAGTCATAGCTTACAAAACGTCTGCTTTAAATTCCATAAAGTTTCAGTGTTCTGTCCATACTGGTAGAAGCAATAAATTGGGAATGTTTTCCAAATCTAATTCCTGTAGCCAATGCTGTGTGATCATTGAACACTTTTAATTCTTGCCATTGCTTACACATATAAACACTGGAAATAAAATTGAAAGTAATATGTGAGCAATATATTTCAATAATTGTGTTTACTATTTTTACTCACCGAACATCAGTTCCTGCAACACCCAAATAAGTTCCACTTTGGTCAAAACATAAGTCTTTGATTTCATATCCATCATCCATGACAAGAGTCTTAAAGTTCTTTAATTTACGTAAATCCCAAAGTTTTACACAGCAGTCATCTGCTGAAGTAGCAAGATAGTAACCATTTTCAGAAAATGATATGGCTGTAATTGGTCCAGAATGTCCTGTAAAAAAAAATAAGCAAAATGATTATAAATTTTAAGAAAAAACTGAATACATCCATTAAAAATTTATATTTAAGAAAAAACCAAAAAAACAAATTTTAATGTTTACCTGAAAACGTTGCCACATTTGATTGTTCCTTCAAATCCCAAATCACAACATTTGAGTCTGAAGTACCAGTTCCAAAAATAAGTCCATCAGGATGGAATTGTCCAGTAGTTAGAGTATTGTTTGAAGTTTGACTTGAAACCTATATTAGATACAAAATTTAAAGTAATATTGGTACATTCATTTTATTAATAATTAAATTAATAAATAATATTTACTTTGGTTAATAGTTTTCCTGTGCGAATATCAGAGAATGCCCAGTTCTGATCAACAGATGTTGACAAAACATAATCCCCAGTTGGATGCAACGACACTCCAGTTACAGGACCTTCATGAGCTCTAATTATTTGAGATAAGGGATTAGAAGCACCAACATTCCATACTCGAATTGTTGTATCAGGTGATCCAGTTATCACAACATCCTTAAAAACAATGATTATTTAAATTAAAAACAGAGTATTAAATTTTTTCATTTAATTACCATAACCAATGCAAAGGAGTTTCTAAAAAAATAAAGTTTTTAATTAATTTTAGGTTTTACCTCATTTGGATGATAAATGACTCGTGTGACCTTCTTTGTATGACCTTTCAGAACAGCTATGATTTGTTCAGTATCCTTATTAAATACTGTAGCGTTTTTATCATTTCCACCAGTCAAAATTTTACTAGTATCTTCACTGTGTATGTCTAAAGACAATATTCCTGGTACACTAGCACTATGAAGACCCTATAAAGCATAAAGTAAAATAATACCAGTTACTTAAATATTTAAACTAAATAAACTTTTTATCATTTATCAATTCATTACTAATATTACTAACTGGATGGGATGCCAATGTTTTAAATCCTTTCAATGATTCTTGGTCCATTAAGTCTTCTGGAACTGTACGTCCCCGTTTCTTTCTCTCTTGTGTTAAAACTGTAGCCTTCTCTTGTAGTTTCTTAATAATTTCATCAGTTATACCTGCTTCTTCGGTGGGCTGATTCGGCACTCCAGCTGCTTCCATAGCAATTGCCTATAAGAAAACAGATAAGGAATATTAAATTATATTTTTTTAATGTAAGCAATAGAAACATAGTTATACAACATTATTAAACATACAGGTTGTGGTATTGTAGTAGGTCCAGCATTTGCAGATGAATCAGCAACCGAAATTCCGGCTTGAGGTTTCAGTGTAGCCAAAGCCTCACGAGCAGCTGTCACTTCCTTAGTCAAACGACCTATCACACGACAAGCAGCATCATGCTGGTACAAAGCATGACTCAATTCTTGTCTAGCAGTTTGCAACTGTTGTCTTTGTGTAAATGCGTGTAACATCACTGCATCCCATTCATCTTGAAGCATTTTCAATATTGCAGGAATGCTAGTGCCAGTCACAGGTTTAGGTTTGACGATGGAGGCAGCTTAAATTAAAAATAAATAAGTTTTATCATTTATTAAAACAAAAAAATAATTTCCAAATAATTATTTTTAATATAGTAAAACATATTATTTATGATTAAATAAGACAAAAAAAACATTTTACTAAGGTCCTTATTTTCTATGATTGTTAATTGTTTAAAAGAGTAGACCTAGATAAAATGTAACTTTCTCAATGCATAACAAAAGAATAAAAAAATTGCATAAATTATAAAACTGTAGTATAAAACAATCATAAATTTATGATTTTATTTAACAAACATATAAAAAGATTGAGAAATGATAACACTATTTTATCGAGGTTTGAATACCACCAATAACATTGACGGTAAATATGGCAGTACTACACAAAACTCATAATTCTTATACTCATTACTCACAACAATACGACTAGCATAATTTAGATATTAGTCAATAAACAACAAAAGTATTATATTTATTACTACTCTGATTGTGGTTGTTACATTTTTTTGTTTTATGTATGGTACATTAAAATAGAGAAGAAATCTCCCAACTTATTTGGGCCATATAAACAATAATAAACAATAAAAATAAAATATAACATTTATAATCACATTTACAATATTTAAATGTAGAGTAGTAAATTTTTTTCCAAACTTAAATTGTATAAATTTTAATTATGTTAAAAATTGAATGAAGAACTATAATTATATGTATACTAAGTAATTATTTTATCATTGAATACTCCTTAAATCAAAATTTGTAAACTTTTTTGTAAAAAGACTATACTCATGCCACTGAGAGCGCTATTAACTCGCAAATCCAAATGACCGAACTCTGGGATTTTGTAACCAAATCCACTCTACCACCTATTAGATATGTTTTATGCTAGGAATGCACGAGATCGGATAAGTTATGGTCGCTGATCAGTAGCGATCTCTCGCAAGAGTTTACTCATTAAAAAATTTATAGAATGAATAATATATTTTTAGTTCTAATCATATTTTAAGTTTTTTGAATGACAACATAGTTTTAAATTCAATATTCATATTCCATAACAAAACATATTTCAAGTATTTTGATACATAAAAATTGAATTTAGTAGGTTATGGGTTATAAACTTATACAGCCATACAGGAATTTGAAACTAACTGTATATTATCATTCTTAAAAGAAAGAAATGTAAACATTTTGAGGAAAAAAAATATATTTTATGTTTTGTAGTTTTTAATAAGACAACATCTAAAAAAAATGTCCAATAAAATTTATACTTTTTAAAATAAAGAGTGTTCTATGATAAAAAAAACATCCAGTATTATACTTCATAAAAAATAAACAATAAACTATAAAAAGCTCATTTTGGGATTATTTGCAGTAATTATCAGGCCAGCAAAAACTTGTCGGCAGGCACATGATTTGTAATCAGTAGACTTCTTATGATTAATAAGGATATGATATAAGCTATAAAGCATTAGCTAACAATAACATAAATAAAAGCTGCATATAATCTCAACAAGTTATAAATGGTACAATTTAAACATAGACCTTATGCTAATAGACAGAGAGCGTTTGTACTTCTGGTGTCCACGCATGACGGAACTCATCAAGGCAGTACATCTTACACCACGCTAAATGATACAATTAGCTGTTTATTACTGTATATAATATATAACACAAGTTGGCCAGGCATGCTCTGCATATTAGTATATTAGTATAAGGTCTATGGATTTAAAATAGATTTTAAAATATAAATAATGTTACAATTGTTTACTTTTTATATCCACTAATTGTTCAACAGTTAATTCTTCGCCATTTATAGGATCGGTATTGTTTTCCTTGATATATTTTTCTATAAGACGTCTTTCAAAAATTGATCCAGAGACTGGTGATACCACGGGATGCTCTGGTACTTCATTAGAAACTGAAAATTAACAATAGGTTTAAATAAATTTTCATTTTCAAGTTATTTAATTTATCTATGGATACTGTTTTTTAAATCTATAATCAAGGTTATTATTTAAAAAAATAGTAGATACCATTTAACATAATAGAGAATCAGATTTGCAGAGAACAGTCATAACCTTTAGTAGAAGAAAAAGATTAGGTATGTAACTACGAAACATTTTTAAAATCAACAATGAAGAGTTTAATTTTTTTTCCAAAACATAAAATTGATTAAATTAATTTAAAAGTTGTTACTCATTCAATATTTTAATATTTTCAATAAATTGTTTTTCGAGATTTCAAATACGTAGAGTTTTTGAGGTCCAACAGAGTAACTGTGTATACCTATTATTTTCAAATGAAACGCAATACACACAATACCTAAAGTTGGACCCGGGAAAACAAATACAACCTAATATTGAGGAATAAAATGACGCCTATCGACATTTTACAGTTGTTTCTATAAATTAAATAATGATCAATAATAATAGTTGAGGATAAAAAGTATGATGGTAAATCCTTACTGGCACACACTAACGACATGATGAGTTTGTTAGCGCGTACGACTTGAGCACAACTTTAATATGTAAACAATCGGCTGAACGTTTTACGAACTCTACACTAAACACATTAAAATATTTAATAACGCATTCAAACACAATCCTCAGTCGAGTACTGTCGACCCAAAGACCAAAGTCCCGACTCCAGACTCCCAAAATCTGAAATGTATAAACTATTAAACTATAAATTATAATATAGGTAACTACAGTCTACTAGTCTACAAAATATGTACAAACCACAACATAACCTCAAAGTGTAAAAACCGGTACGATAAATGTTAGCCATCGGTGACTAAACGTATGACATCGCTGACCACGATTTAAGATAGTGCTATCTTAAATCGCGTCGCTGACCAGGGTGACTGATAACACCACGGAACAAATTGCATTGTTATGACCACAAAATACGAATAAAAATATACTGTCTTGTTATGATGATTGACGGTGCATAGTGGATGACACACACTTTGGCAGTTATAGACTTATAAGTTATAGTTCTCGCGGTGACTGCCAGCATGGGCAGCGATAATCGTGTTGCTCTACAGTCTACACTTCTACTCATGTGTATAGAACTGTAGACAGTTTGTCCATAGTTAATATTTAATAACAAAAGTTTACAAAACGCATAGTGCGTGCACACGACGTAATTATCGTGTTATATTACGATTGATGAACATCAGAATATTTCTGAACTTCTCATAGACAAATTTGTTAATAGGGATATGTCTCTATGGTATTTCTTAAAAGTTTCACCATTGATTATACTTGTCTGGTTTTTGATTTCAACGTTTTCGTTATACCTATCGACTTTTATAATTATTCATATTATAATTATATCAATGTAACTCAATTACGTCACCATACCACCCAATCACGCCTCGTCTATTAGTATTATAAGCCTTATAGTAATCATTTATGTAGGGGGCTATTAAGTATAAACCCCCTCAGAATTTGTAATAAGTTTCGGCAGCGTCGTCGATAGCACAAGGGAAAAGAAGTCTAAAATAGTAAAATCCCGCCCAAATAATTTCATCACTCTACGCCTATAATAGTAATTGACAATAGTTATAATATCTTGCAGAATACATGTCAGATGTCTATAGCATGTTCAACTATGAAGTTTGAAAGTGCATTTTTTGTTTTTATCAATAATTTTTTTTGAAAAATGACTATTTCCAAATTTTCTGATTGTTTTACTTTTTTGCAAATCTCTGCTTAATTATTAGGTATTTATTGTGCCACTGACAAAAACTTAGAAACTTGTTAGTATCTGGTTGTTTTCGTTGTTCTAAAAAGCTTGAACTAAAAATAATTTTTCTCCTTTGAATCATGTTTCCTAGTTGTAAACACAGGGACACGTACTTGCTCCTTATCTACTAAATTACTAATTTTTTTCAGAACACCTAAATGTAGTAGAAATGTAGAATACAAAAACTAAAAGTTTTTGATTTTTTTTTTTGAAAATGAAATTTTTCTTTTAATTTTTATGTATATTTTTACAGTTTTATAGAAAATAAATGTTTTGATAATATTTGTTGCTCTTTTTTTTTCTTTTATTGCTTATTTTAATATTGTTAAGTGCTTACATTAAAGTATTTAAGCATTTATTTTGAGGATACAAATGCCTAAGGCCTAACCCAGATCATCAGTGTATTTGTGAAAGCTCTGATAAAAAAATGTTAGCTTAAATAATAGACATTAAAAAAATTGAATAAGTAGCTTTTTGGATTTTTAGGAAGAATTCTACCATCTATTGAACATTTCAAGAATCTGTGGTTAATTGTTTTTTGATTTTAACCAAAAACTATGTTGATTTTGCCAAAAATATTCTTTTTTTTTTGATTATTAAGAAAAGTACTGAGAATTTTTACATCTTAAAATTACCAACTAGATCCTCTTTTACACAAACCACAATCAAAGTTGAAAATCAAAGCATATTTTCAGATTTTCTACCGTTATGTGTACCCACAAAAAAAACATACATATTATGACTGAAATACAATATAATTAATAATTACAAAATTGATACAAAGTTGGTACAATTCAATATGATAAGTACAATTTACCTGAACAACATAGACAACAATAATTGGGGGGGTGGGTGGGCTGTTAGGCTTAAGTTAGTACAGTACAGTAGTTAGCCAGTAGAACCTTCCCAGTAGATATTCCATGCCAGCTGCAGCCAAGTATGTTTCTTAACTTGAAAATAGTATAATAGGTGCAGCATATGTGAGCAAACAGTTATGATGTTATAGGCACACTTCAAGATTATTTTAGGTAGGCACCAAAAGATACTAACTTTTTAACCTTAATTATAGAATTTGGTAGTATTAACACATTAAAATACATTTTAACTGTGTTATTTTTACTATTTTAATTATATATTTTTTAGTGTGTATACTTTTCTTTACGGGGAGGGCAGTTTGCACATAGATAGTATATACATTTTATTCATGTATATAAAATTATCTATGAGTTTGAAAGAGTGGTTAAAAATAAGGTTTGCCCCATCTGCTAAATAACTCCGAGCATATCTATGAGGTACAGTATACAGTGGCGTTATTTTAATAAGAGTATTTTTTTTGCAGGCCACAAACACTGCCTGGAATTAATCCATTTTTCAGGCCTACCAATTTAAAAAATGGGCTAAATCACAATAATATTGGCTTTCAAATATACAAATGTACACCTTGCGCGGTCTAAATGAGGCCACTCGGCAGAACACTACTTAGACATTTCAGGGAGTTATTTGGTGGGACCTCTCAACTTAAATTGTTAATTTAATTTTTTTATATTCCATTTATTTTTTAAGATTATAATTAAACTATAGGTACTATAAGGCTATAAGTATTTAATGAATGTTGATTGATATGAATAAATTGTATTATATGACTGTATAGCAGTAATATATGGAAGCCCTAATTATGTCGGAGTCCGGTCATCCAGGGCTGTGGCAACTATGTATGGCTTTGCCACTGAATAGGTACCAGTATACTTTTTTTTTAACCCAAATATAAATAGAAAAACATAAACAAAAGTATTTAATTTTATTTATAATTTAATACTAATGTCTTAGTTTATACATATATATATATATATTAAAGTAAAATTAAATTTATTTTGAAAATTTGGTTGAGTTTTTAATACCTAATTCATTCTTTCATCTCTGCATCAGCCTCTTCATTTTCATCATCAACTGATCTGATGTAAAGAACGTTATTACACCTAGAATTGAAAAAATTTATTTATTTGTAGTTTTTAAAATATACTTAGATACATTATGACTACTGCATTTTGAATTACTATATTATAAGCAGGGCTCGTAAGTTCATGCACTAAAAATTGGCAAAATATGCATTTAAATGCCCTTACATTTTTAAATTATGCACTCAAAATATGCATTATGCAAATTATTTATGAGCAAATTTTAAAATAATAAGAATATATCCATTAATTTTAAAAGTATTTTATTCCTTTTAATTTTTATTTATTTAACAATCAAAATTAATAAAATGATTACTTATGAAGTTCATATAATCATATGGATTTGTCATCTTTATTAATTTTAATTAGGTAGTAATTTTTTGTATAATTTTTGTACACCATTATCCTGCACCTACAATGAAAATATTTGGAATGAAATATTAGTTATTTGACATTTTCACGACTCGTACAGTTAAACAACTCATCGGCGACTGGCGTGTGCAAGAAAACTATACTGTACCAGTGTACAAAATTGTAGATGCGGATTGGTAAGAAACATTGTACAGGTATATATGCTTGTAGAGGTATCGTTTTGGCGAGGAACTATACACGGCAGAGGATGGTAGTGGTAGTTAAAAAATTATTTCCGCGGTACTAAGTAAAACGCATAAAATCTAAATAGGGAAATACTAGAAAAGTAAGTAGTCACACGAAAATAAAAATAAATCAAAACACTATCATTCAGTAAACGGGAAAGTAAATAAGAAACAAGGAACATTTCAAATATTTTTCTGTGTAGCAAAAAAAACATGTAAATGCATGAACTTACGAGCCCTGATTATAAGTGTAAAGTAGAAAAATGAATATTTTTATCAGTTTGGAAAGGCATGGAAATATTTTGAGAATGACTTACCTAATCATAATTTCGCCTAATAGAGCTGGTTCACTACCCTCCACAAATTCTGTAGCACTAGCTAATTGTATGTTCATATAATTGTCAGTGGACACCAAAAATCCTTTGTATTCATGACCCCATTTAAGCTTAACGATTATGGTTTTACCCATAAGACCATTAAGGTATGGTTTTGGATTTACCGGCATAGTAGCCATGATTATGTATGTTATTTGATGATCGTTCTGTGAAAATATTTTGTAATAAAATTATGTAGATAAAATTATTGAAATTTAAAAACAGTAAAATTGTTTTACAATATAATTAAAATATAAGTGTTTTTCCAAAGGACCTAAGGAAATGACTGTTCTAACAAACTTATTATTACCTTTTAAAATTTAAAATAATAGCAGACGCTATTCACACGCGCGAGTTGAAAGTTGAAACTATCAAAATCAAACTAATAAATAGATAAACAATATATTTTCATTTTTTAGTCCTGCCGGCTGCCATTATCTTTTCCATGCATCCTGCCCTCTGATTGGTCGTAATCATGGTTCATAAACACGGTTGAATCACCTATTCTGTGGTCTAACAACAAAATATAAAATAAACAGAAAGCTAAAATTTAGCGGGACTTTACATATTGTTCGGCAAAACACTTGTTCCAATAGATGATGTTCCTTATAGCATGGTGTAGCCATTGAAGTATAGCCGATTATATTTTGTAAGAGTAACTATATATTATCATGGAGCAAAAAGTTATTCCCACTGTAATTTGATTTTCCATATTTTCAAATGATATTAATTATTAGTTATATTTTTTTAATGCATTATTTATGTTTAATATGTTAATTTATTAGGACTGAATTGCCCTAAAACTGAGATACATAAATACTAAGATACTTAGATACCTTAATTCATGGTTAAAACTGAAACATACCATGTCGGAATACATAGACAGAGGCCAGAATAGACACAATAGTTTTAAATATATAATAGTCACTCAATTACACTATGATTTGGACCAGAGTATCTTTATTCATGCTCATGACTGTAGCCTCGTGACAACAGTATATTCATTTTGGCATATGCAACCTGCAGATCATAGGTTGTTAATTGTAAATAGAACTTAGAACTATTATCATATAACTATTAACTATATATGTCTATATATCAGTAGGCTGACTGCCCACAGTCCTTACCTACAGTGGTTCAGGGATATAGATACTAGTATAGTGCTGAAGTAGTGATGTTAGAATTAGTTGGATGCATAGATCTTATACTATAAGTTATAAAGTATGGATGGATGGAAATATGCAAGTATCAAATACCTACCTAATGGAATTCATTAAGAAGATGAAGATTATATACCGTGTGTTCATCAATTTAGGGAACACTGAATTTCTCAGCTGGATTAGGTTGGAATAAATCAAATTTTTTTTACAAGCTTTTGGTATATAAATACACATTTTCTGATAAATTTCAAATTTTTAAACCCTTCGGTACGCGTATGCGCAATGCAACTTACTTTTTTTTTTAATAGCAACAGGTAGTTTTGATACCAAATTCGGATAGACTGAATTTTTTAAAGTCATTTTGACCCATTGACCATGGCTCTAAAACCAAAATTGACTGAATGAGAGCCATTCAAATATCAATAAATAATACATTTTTACAATTCACTATAAAATGCATGAAATCATTTATAATTATTTATTATTGGTTACTTTTTGAATATCTTTAAGTATTTTTTTTTTTTTTATACGTGTTATAAATAAGATTAACATAATATGGATATAAAATTATTTTTTCGTACCTAGGTGGCTATAGGGATAAGAACATCATAAAATATGTATGAACAAGATGTATGAATGTATGATATATGATCTAGGTTAAATTAATTTAGGTAGGTAAGTAGGTAGATATTTATTATAAATATAGGGAAAATTAAAGAATATAAATTATACATACTGATTTACAAATGGAAATTTTTTTTAATTTTTAATTTTTTGAATGCATTTTGAATGCACCAATGTTATTATTGCTATTTTGTATGAAACTATTTATTAATACATACAGCAATTTATTTTAAGAATTCGATTTGACATGCATCAAATACGTATAATAGTCAAAGGCTTATAAACAATATCACTCATTTTTATCATTCCGTTTCGAACACCGGTCTTATTTTTTTATCAAAAGTGACTAAATTTCAATTAAATTTACACTAACTTTTTTTGCTAGTTCCAATGTAATTTTAAGTGAATGTAATTAATTGGCATTTTGATACAATTTCATTTCCATACGTGTATTTGTCAGGTTGGGTTGAGAAATGAGAATTATCCTCACTTTTGGCTGCTAGCTTATCTACACATTATTGATGAATCGGTTTAATAATATATATATTGATCTATATTCTAATAGTTCATAGTACATTAGTACCTGTTTTATATTATTAATAATTATTCTATTGCATTATGCTATTGAACTATTATAATATGATGTATGGCGCCAAATAATTTGTATTAGGTACCGAGTACACAAATGTGATAAGGAGAAAGGGGCTGAATAGGCAATCACATACAATGTGAAACGCCAAAGTCTATAGAGCTTCCAGTATTCTAAATTCAAATCTATAGTATTTCCATCACGGTCCACGGACGTATGCTTCTGTGAATTCCATAGACATATGGTATAGTATAGTCTATATCATAGACCATACTCAAATTATATTATAATTTCGACTAAAAAATATAGTATACCTATATAAGTTACTACAGTCCGATCAGCTGATCCCGTGCCATTTCTTCTGTGCATCTGTGGTATCATAGAACAAACTGATGGTATGGAAATAGAATAATAAATAATGTTATCTAAAAACCTTGGGTAGTTACGAGTTTGGTGTAAAGATGTATAACACATAATCCAGATTAATAAATTATAAAACTGTTGAAAGCTTGCTGGTTCCCGCGTTCTAATTTTGTGTTATTTGTTTCCATTTCGTTCGGACTTCGGCCTGTCCGTTGTCGACTGTCGGCCATAATTCTATTGCCGAATCCCGAAGTGCATGTCCGACAATCGACGTATACCATATTTTACGACCTTATAATACGTAAGATTATTCTGAGCAAATACGTCATACATTCATCTAGTTGTAAGTGTAAAAAACAATGTTACATCATTCGTCGTTGATCACGTGGGAGTTGTTTACGTTTATATAGGAGATAATCGAAACTAAAGTTATAACATTGTGTACGTCAATCACAGACAATTACCATACAGTTAATGTTAATTAGCCGAGATCTATTTGTTGGTGTCAGATGGTGTGGACGACTAGTGTGTGTGTGTGTTTGTCTACAGCTTGAAATATTACATAGGACTTATGTTACAATATTATTAATTATTGCATTCCAATATTTAGTCTATTTTTGAATGTGTTAGAACGCAATGGCAACCACAAGCAACGGCTCAGATTCTTCACGAAAGAACACAGACAATAAAGAGAATGATAACAAAGATGAACAGAATAACATGTTTGAATGTAACATATGCTTGGATTATGCAAAGGACGCGGTTGTCAGTGTTTGTGGCCATTTATTTTGGTTAGTACCATTGATAAATTAAAACTATATAACCAAGTAAATTGTAATTTACATATTATATTTGTAAGTTGTTCAATTTCCCTTAAAATAATTAATTTGATTAGCCCTACCTTATGCAATACATTTTCATGAACTATGACATACATCTAGAAAGTTCCATTCGGCAATACATTCTAGTAAAATATACTTATACAAATTACAATGTTTATTATTGGAACATATATTACAAATATTACAATAGTTTTCGTTGTGGTTTCCATCACTATTTAAACACTTATCACAACTGGTCACTTGTTTCTGTGTTCATAATCTTTGATCATAGCAAGATGTTACCTATGATCGTCATGCGACAGGATTTTCAATTTGCTTAATTTTAAACAAACACAACTTGGAGTGTGTGATACTCACTAGTTAAATAATGGTTTTTTACTTTCTCAATAAGTAAATAGAAGTATGATAATGACACTGACATGATTTTAAATAAGAAACCTACTTTCTGAATATATTTTGTATGCAAAATGTAATTAAGTAAGTATAAATTAGAATAGCAATTAGTATTTTTAAACTAAATTACCTTACCAATTTTATAATAAATTAAATAATTAAAAAGGTTAAAATACATAACATTCTGTTAATCTACTTACAAAAAAAAATTCATATGAAAAATCTAATCAATTCCACATTGGTAATATAATATAATATTATACAGATTTATAAGTAATTATTTTTTAACCAGTTTACGGCTTACAAGTTATATGAGCTAAAATAGTCAAAATATGCACTACAAAACTATAAAAGTGGCTTTGTGAGGCGTGGTATTAAGTTCAATCTGTGGAATCACTTTAAGTGTACGTACTGGCCAGCATTGCTAGCTCTCAAGATAACCACCCAGGTTTTTAGTTATTAATCTTTGCCACACATACCAAAACATGTTCCGACTAATCGTTCCCCCCTCCGCGCACAGTACCAGGCTAATGACCTTAGTAGTTAAAGCCTTAATCCAAATAAAAATATAAAAAATGTATTAATTATTATTTATTTATTATTGTTGTATTGTTAGTTTAATAATATTATACTAAAAATTGTTTTATCAAACAAATGAAAAAGAAAAAAAAAAGATCTTACAACTGGAGAACTAGTTGCCAATTGGTGATGTTAATTATTGAACTGAAAAAAAACATTATTGGTGTCTAAATATGTGTAATATTCAGTGGCGTATTTACAAGTTTTGATTAGGGGGGTGTCATATCATAATAAAATAATTTATAATTTAGAAGGTATAAAATACTTAAACTCAATTCATCCTATTTTTATATTAACTTTAGTTATATTAGAATTAAAATTAAAAATCACAAATTATATTATAAAATCTAGTTTTCTTTTTTTCCTTGCCAATTCATCAATAATTTCATCGGTCTGACAATCTAAATCTCGGTGAATCGATGACATAGCAAGGCCATTAAGTCTTTTCTGAAACAAAATGCAATTCAAAATTTAGAACGTTTAATTAAGAAAATTTAAATTTGAAAATTTAAGGTCTCCAGGCGCCAAAAATCCTTGGGGGGTGGAAACCCCCAGACCCCCCCCCCATAAATACACCACTGGTAGTATTAGTAAAAATATATTTTCACTATTTGTGAAGTTATTTCATTTTTAAATATAACATCAATTTTGTAAACAAAGCATTTCATTTTTCATTTTTTTCACTAAAATTAAGAAATATAAACTTTTTTCTTAAATTGATGAAATATTCATTTAAATTTTCATTTTTAAAACCCATAGTTTTATATAGTTGATTTTTAAGCTGGGTCTGATCTCTAGCAATTACTATTATTCAGTAATTTAATTAATTACTTATAATATTATTTTGTTTAAACCTACAACTTTCATTGTTATAGTTGGCCATGCTTGCATCAATGGTTAGAAACTCGTTCAAGTCGACAAGTATGCCCTGTGTGTAAAGCTGTTATAAGTAAAGATAAAGTAATACCAATTTATGGACGTGGAAATACCAAACAAGAAGATCCCAGGTAAATTGAAATTGAAATTTTTTCAACTGAAATTAATAATTATAATTTAAATAAATACAACTTATTTTATTAGAATAAACATTATGAATTAATTAAAATAAATAACATAACATTAATAATATTTTTAAAAAATAAGTTTTATTACTGTGACCAGGACCGACTCAATGTGGTAGCAAAATAGGCGGCACTAGTGTGGGGGCGGCAAATTTTGAATGAATCAAAGTGATTTTTATAATATAATATAGTATGCTGAATTGTATGTTACAATTAATATACAAAAATAAATATGTAATAAGTAACAAATAATATTAATATACTATTGATACTTCGTTTACCGAGAACGTAACCAAATGTAGCTGTAGCACTTCGCATTGTTTTAACTCTGCCTATGTCATTCAAATCTGGTGAACGGAGCTTTTCCAAATTAAAAATAATTAAAAACTATTTGAGGTCTTCTATGAATCTAGAAAGGTTAAGTGATCTTGCTACAATTCCTAATGGAAAACCTGGAGTTTAAAAATTTACTGACTGATTTTACCCAAGAAAAGGGTCACAAAATTAATTTCATTTAATATATTTTTTAATATTTAATTAAATACATATTGTTGATCTATGATAACGATAATGAATGTGTAACGATGGTCAAAAATATTACTTGTTCTATTTCATAGCCAAAATTTATTTTAATTTTTTTATTATTATTTTGTATTTTGTAAAGAAAACTAAAGTCAGTCAAAAAATTTTTTTTTTAATAAAACAAGGGTTTATAGTTAAAAATGAATGTCCATATTTTATTCAACCTCCTCTTCTCCAAAAAATTAACTATTGCATAGGACAACTTAAATTAGATTTGCCTAGAGCGGCAAAAAACCTATGGCGGGCCCTGACTGTGACCTCTATCAATGCTCACATACATACAAACAATTTTAATTCTTTGTTTATGATATAAAATGTATTTATAATAATCTATTTTAATATCAACTTGTTACCACCTAATTTTTTTAATTATATTTAAAAATTCAATGTTTATTATTAAATTATTTTTTGATTTCAGAAATAAAGTGCCACCTAGGCCTGCTGGTCAAAGAACTGAACCTGATGCTAATACTGTAGGTCATCAACTAGTATAATTTTTATTTGTCATGCTAATATTAGTATAGAATTGATTTAAAAATTTTCAGGGTTTCCCTGGTTTTAACTTTGGAGATGGTGGTTTCCATTTGTCATTTGGGATAGGAGCATTTCCTTTTGGATTTTTAACATCGTTCAATTTCTCTGATCGTCCACATGGAGGTAAGTACAAATTAATATTTGTTTCATTTTTAAATTCTTACTTTCAATGATGACTTTAATTTAACTAGTTCCAGTTGGTGGTCAATTACCACAAGATGATCATTACTTATCAAAACTTTTCTTATGGATTGCAGTAATATTTATTATTTGGCTATTATTGGCGTGATTTACTTGTACAGTATGTTCTTTTATATTATTATTATTCTATCATTCATTGAATTACTATAGCAAGCACTTCACGGTGGCTTCTTTTTTTTATAATGTTTTTATTCACTATTTAGTTTTAACCTATTGGCTATAAAGCTTTTCAAATTGTTTTCAATTTTTATCATCCAAGGCTTAGTCTGAAATCCTTACTGTGATTATTAGTTTGGTTATTTTTTTGATACAAAAAACTTAAATTATAGTTTAATAATAAACTTTTTAACAGTTTGACAAATATTTGACCATGGTGTCGTTTATATTTATTCTTGGAACAGGCAATAATTTAATTAGTTCTGTTTTTTTACTAAATTAAATTTGCAAAACAAATATTAATTTTTATTCTGTATTATGTTATTATATCTAAAAAGATTTATTTTCAATTTCACAGTCTATTTGGGTTTTTAATTACTATTTATGATTATTATGTTATGATGGTTTTGTTTTGAGTTAATTATAATATTATAATGATTCTTTATGATTTGTTATGTTAAAATGGTATTTGTTTTTTTTTTTATTGTATTCATCCCATTTATAATTATAAGAGTATTCAACGCATAGTCTGTTAACTATTACACCCATATCTACTTAATTGTTAATATTAATTTCTTTTTTTAAATTTACTTGTCTCCTAATTCAATCAACCATATAAAATACTTGAGATTAGATGGACTAGAATAAAATTATTGTTCAATATATTTAATCATAAATCTTTCTTTTGGTTTGTAAACCACCATTATAAACTGAAAGGTTGTATACCAAAGGGCTATTAATTAATCATGACTTCAAATTCAATATTTGTATTCACAAATATCTATGATGTGTTTATTGCAAACATTATTTTATAAATAATTAATAGTTTGAAAACTTTATAATAATTTGAAAATTGTTAACAACATGACAATCGGTTAATCCCAAATAAAATAGAACATGTAAAATGACTAGTTTTATATTAAAAAATCTTGCACCACCATGGTTTGATTAAATTAAAATATTTCCTAATTTATTTATTTCAATTGTATAATTTTTTTAATCAGTTCATTGAATATCGCGGACAGTGGCATAGCCAGGATTATAAAATAGGGGGGTTTATGTATAAATTCAACTAAGTTTTTTATAATTTTTGTATATACATAATATAAACACTGTGTGGTAGAAGTTTAACTTTAAATGTAGCTTTTAGCTGAACTTGCTTCTTCAAAATATACTGTCTAGTTTTATTGAATTAATCTTTTGTAAATATTGTACTGTTATACAAAATTATTATTACATTCTTGATATTCTAAGAGATATTGTTCATTTTTCTGATAGATGCATTAGAACTGTATAAGCATGTAAAAAATCACGAAATTGATTCACCTTGGTGGTTCCAAGATTTTTATATTATTTTTTAGCGGGTCATTCAACTAAAATTGTTATGATTACATTGTGTTATATTCAGTAACATAGTGGATGCTTAAACTCTAAAATTCTTAAATGCATAAAGGAAATAAAATAAAATAAATATTGAGATATGCGTATATTGAGTACACAATATCAATTTCATAATATAATACTATTAGTGTTGGAGTAATTTAAAAATAACTGAAGAATATATTTTAGAATCAAAGGTGGCTCAAATCAATATGATGTTAAAAACACTAACTTTGACCAATAACCAAAAATGTGTTTGTATTAACCCAAATCAGTTCATAATTAGTATATTGTAATAGTAAATAAACTATACTCTTGACAGAGATGAAAATGAAACATTAATATTAAGTGATGTACAAATTTTAAATAAAAATACATGAACAAATTATGTTGATTCATTAAGGCATGGTGACAATGAAATATAAAACGATTGGCCAAGAATTTACATTTGATCCAGTTCAAGTAATAAGTATTAAAAAACTTTATTTATAAATACATTATATTGAATATATTCAAATTTTAGATCCAAGTTAACAATTAAAAATACATTAAATCTTAATATTATAAAATTAATCTACTTAAAATTATATTTTGTTATATGTTGATAATGTTAACATTTCAGAATTATCGTACTCGAGGCTCTTATCTTTTTCATACAACGATACAACCATGATAAAATAACAGTGAGTGAAATTATTTTTAGCTACGTTCAGTGGCGTAAACTTGGGATGGCGTAGTCAACCCTCAGAAAATTGGTTGAAATTAACTTCCAAATTGAAAAAATATTTAGTTTCTATGGTTTGTTTGTTAAGAAAAAACAACTAAAATTAAGAGTTTTATTATGTCTGAACTTGGATTTGATTGATGTAGTGGGTGAATACTAGGTATAAAAATATGATAATTTTCAACAGTGAAAAATGTACTGTGTGCCACTGACTACACGAGCCATGTACGCTATAGACTTATGCATATGTAATTTAATATTATTAATTTTTGTCAGTACATTACTAAATTACAATATTACTTAGGTAGGTAACTACCAATATCTTTTTGAGAGTTGATTATGTATATACCAGGACTTTGCAAACCAAATCATTTATTCGGGTTTTGGGTGTTAAAAAGACAAAATAAAAAATGTTAAAAAAACGTTTGAATTTTAATAACCATTAAACTAACTTTTGGATTTAAAATTAATAACGTAATTGTATCATGGATACAACGACAGGCATTTAAAATTATAAAACACAACTACACAACTACATATCATATATCTGTATTCTGTGGTCTGTGGATAGGCCTATAAACTAGAGAGCCTTGAGGCTCTTTACTATAAAGTATAATTTATAAGTCATTGCTGTACACGAATTAAGATATCAAAATTCGTAATTCGTGATGCTGTGGATACAACTCATACATATTAATATAAGTTATATAAGTTCTTTATTATCTATGATACACGGCCAAACCCTCTTATAGTCTTATATCTGGACTATAAACTCGCACGATTCCTGGAAACCCACCGGCCACCACGGCGTCTAAAAAGAAACCTGGTGTAGATATCTTCTTAATGATTAACCAAAACAACAAAAAAAGTAATTTTTTTGTATATAAGATCTATATATAAATAAGCAAAAGGAAGTGCGATCACTGGATGGTTTCTTCCCTCATCCTATACATGTGAAATCACTTGTGGCACATATTCTTATTATGCCTAGGGCATAGATTGTAATTATTGTATATTTCGATTAAAAAATAAATTTAAAAAAGTAATAAATGATACACCATAGACTGGCATAGACGGTTTAAAAAATATATATATTTTAAACCAAAACATCTAATTGATAACATTTATGTTATCACATGGATTATAAAGTTGAAAAGTTCGAGTGATAGTACTTCAATCACGATGTAGAGAAGTCCGTTTTTTATCCTGTACTCTGTACTTCTGTAGTCTGTATTTGCGTCCAGTCCGTGATAAACTTTACCGGTTAAATTTGTGATTTTTTTTGTAAACACTACATACCTGATGTATTTCAAAATTTAACAATTTACACTCTAGATACCTATATAGGCTTATTTTTATTTTTTTTCTGTAAAAACCTACATCTACTTGAATACATTTTATAAAAAATATTATTTTGGTTTTGTTTAAAATGTTTTCACCTTATTGTAATAATAGTTCATATAACATTGTAAATATTAAAAGGCCCATATATCTGACGTACTCGTTTATTAACCATTGGATGCAAATTCGGAAAAAGGTATACAAATAAGTTTGTTAAATAGTTAAGATTTCAATACTAAATATGATTTACTATTAGAGTTCAGTTATTACCAACGAAGTTGAAGTGTCCAGTACGGACGTACTGACTGATGAAACCCAATTTCGTGCTTTGGAAAAATCTGTTACTCCTTTATGTCGAATGCCATATGAGAAACAATTGGTTCTAAAACAACAGTGGACAAATACTGTGTGTAAAGAAGTGCGCAGTCGACTACACAATGTAAAAACCTTGATTACACTTCCTAAAGTCTTCCCTATTTCATCATCCGTATGTGTTTATTATTTAAAATTATGGACTTTTGAATACCTACTTGGGTTCTTATATTTTCATTAGTTATTCATTATTATTTTTTTTGTTATGTATGTGTATTAGCCTCAAATAAATGAATACCGCAATAAAGACGAATTTAATTTTCGACCTGGTATCGATGGTAACCCTAAAACCCTTGGATTTTTTGTGACTAATCCGTCTAAGGAAAGTATCTATTGTGTGTCTGCAATGAAACTAATTAATATGAAGCAATCGCATAAAGATGTTGCTCAGGTATGTTACATTTTTGTCTATGTCTACTAGATGTATTAACATATATTTTTTCAATTTAAGGTTTTTGAAGATTTTGTTAGAAAATCTGAATTGCCCGCTAGTTATGATCATATGGATGGTGGTTTTTGGCGAGGAATTATTGTGCGGAGTAATTTAAAAGGTGATAAAATGGCCATAGTGGTTGCTAATCCTAGAGGTTATACCAATGAAATCATGTTGGATGAACAACGTAGATTTAATGACTACTTGAAGAGTATGAATGTTGATATACAATCTTTATATTTTCATCCAAGGTAATTATTGAGCTATTGTTGTGCATAATAATATGTTAATTGAAATATTTTGTACTAAATATAGATTTTATTCTATTTGTTTAGTTTGCACACTAGAAGTTCAAAAGATTCAACATTCATTCTTGTTGATGGAGATAAATACATTTATGAGGAATTATGTGGTTTTAAGTTCAGAATATCTCCAGACTCATTTTTTCAAATTAACACCTTAGCTGCTGAAGTCTTGTACCACGAATTGTTCAATTTAATAAATCCAACAAAGACAACAACTCTGCTAGATTTATGTTCAGGCACTGGTATTATTTCTTCAAAATACAATCATAATAACAATTAAAGATTAATATTAGCATATTAGAAGATATTTAACATTAACTTAATTTCATAGGTACAGTAAGTGTAATAGGCAGTCAACACGTACAGTCCTGTGTTGGTATTGAATCTGTGGCGCAGGCCGTTAATGATGCTAAAGAGACTGCAAAAATAAATAATATACACAATTGTGATTTTATTGAAGGCAAAGTAGAAATAGTAAATACACATGTGTACCCTTTACTAACAAACCAAAGCAATTCATAATGTTTTTTTTGTTAAAGGTATTAAAACAAGTTTTGAATGAATTAAGCATGACCAGTGATTTGAGTGCTGTATTAAATCCCGGTCGAGCAGGCGTGCGTAAGTTGGCTTTAACATATGCAACATGTTAAATGTTTTATTAATTTTCAATGTTTGTAGATCCAAAAGTCATAAATGCTATTAGAAATAATAGATTGATCAACAGTCTTGCGTATGTGTCATGTAAAGCAGATAGTCCAATAACTATGAAGAACCTTGTGGAATTAGTTGTTAACAACAAAAAATCTCGCCCTTTTACTTTGAAGTCCATAAAACCAGTTGATATGTTTCCTCATACAAAACACTGTGAATTAATTTTCATGTTCAAACGTTAAATTGTATATGAAATTAAAACAAGTGTGTAATTATATGTTAATTTAGATTTGTTTCTAGTAAATTATTTTCATGACTGAACCACTAAACAAATGTATTTTACATAAATTTATTATATGTTTATATTTTTATATAAACTGGCTGGTCTACAAAAAATTGAATCCGGTCTGTTGAAAAATGGCTGAGATCTTATTTTTTTTTTATAAGGTTCATATTATTTAAAGCTATTTCCTCAAAAATACTCACCTCAAAACCAAATGCAATTGTCCTAGCGATCTTGCGTTGTTCTAAAAGGATTTTGGAAGTATTCTGAAGTTAAGGCTTTATATTTTGCTGCAATATTTACTTTAATTTCTTTTATGTCTTGAATTAATTTCAAAGAATTACCTATTCCTAAAATATATCCTTTTAGTAACTCACCAACCAATTTTTTTTTTTTGGAGACAAAAGTTCATGAACTGATACTGAGCTGATAGCTGGCACATTTTAGTGATACTGAGCAATTAATTTAGCAGCCACTCTTGACTCTTAAAATTTATAATTAGTGGATTTTCCCTTAATATTTCATAACAAAACTTAACAAATATTTACCTATGTGTCAATCTGTGAACTGTTTAGTAATTATCAGTTATTTTGAATATTTTTTACACATTTTACCACATCATTCTAGAATATGTGTAATTTACAGTTGACTGCTACCGTCTTGAAAATGCTTAAATTATTCAAGTCTTTGAACATCGCAAAGAATTATCCCCAAAAGCAGTGTCATTCATTTCTATAGTAAGTTGTAAAACCTAAATATTAGTACCTAATAGGTATTTGCTGGGGTTTGAAGTCTAATCTGATTTTAGTTGCAAAAAATTACTATTTATATATTGAGTTAATATATTTATTTTATTCAAAACTTAGAAGTCATTCTAGGATAAATTGTAAAGTTATAAAACATTTTTTTAAATAAAATTAGCCTTAGCAATAAGTTCTGAGATTTTGTACTACAATTTTATAAAGTTTTGTGACCACGATAACTTGTTTTGTAACTTACAAAAAAGTTAAAATTTGTAATCTTTAATCCCGGGTGTAGGGGTGATCTCACGCAAATGTGTTTGGTTTGAAATTTACTCAGAATTTCGAAACCAAATGTAACCCAAAATTCGAAATTCCTGACTTACCTACCAAATCAAATCTTGTAAAAACCATTTTAAGTTGGGCGGTCAGCGTGTAACCTGATGTTTCTCCTGAAATTGATCTGGTTGGCAGAATTTCCCCCAATTTTCACGCTTATTTGCTGTCTGCTTTCTCCATTAATTCATAGCATGTTTCTTACCCTAAATCCTTGACTAATATTGGCTTATGTATTCGAGTTCCGAGTGGTGGTCATCCTCGGCTTTTCTTCCCTTCTATTGATCCTTCTATTATTCTACCTATATATTGTTATATCGCAGTGTATGTCCAATAAGCTTAACTCTTCTAATCTTCAGAGAATCAGAGCTTTTAGGAAGCTTCTTTCTTCTCCTACTCTCAGAAAAACTTAATCATTTGTTATATACCTAATCTACCCAATTTATTTCCGTGATAATATTATGAAATCTAATTGATATTCAACCAACTTCAAATATTTTTGTGGTCAAAATATTTAAATTCTAATCTAAACATTTACAACTAAAAAATATGATTAAAATAACTCCCCAGAGAGTTGGCCATCGCCCATGGCGTATTTGACATCCTACGGGCGCCACACATATAATAGGTACAGATTAATTATTATATTATATATAATAGTGTGCGCCACATTTACTAGGTATAATTAGGTTCGGCGGCACCGTAATACATATATTACAGTGACTTAATTACTCAGGAAATTACGAGGTACACTACTGGTTAACTATTTTAACTATTTAATAATTTTTTGTGTACTCGCCTGCACAATAGGTTAGGTTCTTTCCTCAAAGTTTTAAAAATAATCATGTTTTTATACAATCAACCATAGCTCATTGGAGTTTTTTTTTAATCAGATAGGAGCGAATTTCCACCTTGGCACCCACCTCATCATAAATAACGCTACCTGTATATCTAAATATGTATGTATTTAAACAAAATATATATTAGGTACCTATTAATTATTATTATTGTACCTAATTTATATTAATACAAAATAATGTCCGGTATCTACAAGGGAGTACATATAATATATGTATTAAAATATTATCAACGTAACCGTATGATTGAAAAAAAACAAATGGAATTTATGTAATGTCAATAATATTATATTCCATTATTATGGTTGTATAGGTACCTATTTTATATCTTATATGATTGCAATAATAAACGGGAGTAAGTAACAATAACACGTTAACTTAACAGGTAACATAAAATATTATATTAGGTGTATCATATTATGAACGTCGCTGCTCGGATGTATACCTATCCTACCTATATACAATATAATTAATTATTATAATATTATGCTTTATATATAGCCTTTGTCACTAATGCTCAAATATAGGTAATACAGTAGGTATACACATGCGCACAAACGATATTATTATTATACAGCGTTGACGCGATGACTATAATTTATGACATATGTTGTAGGTAACAATAACATGGCGTCGCTCTACTTGTTGAACTTGGACGTTATCGACATGAGGCCCTTGGCCAGACCACCGCTCATGTTCATCGCGCCGCCCAGGTTGAGCGTTTTGCGGAGCATGGCGAATCCCTTGACCAACATCCTAGGGTTGAGCTTGATCTTGGACACGATGTCAGAGATCGCGTCCAGACCTCTGGTCACCTCGCCGCCGTTGACCATTTCGGTGACCAGCCGCAGGGCGTCAGTGCCCACCTCAGATTGCATGCGGACAACCGAGGTATACACCTCATTGGCTATTTCCTGGAAACCCTGCGAGGCATTCGGGTCGGTGACGAGGCCGGTGATATTGTTGCACAGCCGGATCTTGCGGTCAGCTCGCTGAGCATCATTGGTCACCTTGACCCGCCTCTTGAGCGCCCCCTCAAATGACGACCAGAACAGTCCGTTGCTGAGCACGTTACTCAGCGTGTTCCTCACTGACCTTACACCCAGCTGGCCGTACTCGCTTTCCCGGTTGATGTCCTCAAACGTGTTCCAGAACATGTCCTTGACGGCGGTCAAGTTCGGATACTTGGAGGGTGTTTCCGGAGGCGGTGCTGGAGCCTCAATATCTTTTGAGGACACCTGATTCACCCGCTTCACCGTCTTGACCCGCCTCACCGTCTGGCGATCAGCGCCTGCCGGCTGCTGCTGTGTTTGTTTATCCAGTAGTGGAAACGCATCCTGTAACACGAAAACGTCCAAATGGGTTACAAGATCCAAGAAACGATGACAATATTCGGACTAGGTAGTCGTTCGACCAAGTCGTACAACGGTGAAACGTTGTAATTCTGATGCCGATTTGATGTAAATACATAATTTACATTTATATATGACTAGGTTTTACAGTATTATACTTAGGTATACTTATAGGTATACACGCGTATAGTTATAGGTTATTACTGAGGTATTTAGTACCATTTATTGTAGGTACCTATCTATATTTATAGTCAGATAGCTGATCCAGGAGACCAGAAATTTTCTTGAAACTGTGCTTACTGCTGGGCGCTTGTCATCAGATACATAGATCCATATATATACAAACTTTAGGGAGGCGTGGCCTGTAGACATCTCGTGCAATTGATGATATATAAAAAAAGAGCTAATACTAATGAATAATGATTAGTAATAATTATTAAACAATAATATTATACATGAATATTATTTAAGTCGTCTGCATAGATTTTGAAGTCGCCTATTACAATGGCATTAGCTTCTATGAATATATTTAATAGTAATTTATAGTTATTTGTTTAGTTATAAATTGTACCTAATGACTTATGAGTACTAAACTTTGTGATTCTAGAAAACAATACTTTAACTCTACAAAAATAGTATAACTATAATATTAGACGTAGGTTAAAGTCTACAGGTAGGTAATTACCTATACAGTCTACTGAATTGTGAATACAGTACTGATTGACTAGGTAGGTACTGAATAATATAAAATATAAAATATATGAAGATACCTAGTAGGTACCTATACCAATCAATACCAAGTACCTAATCTATATAGTCTTCTTGTCTTATATAGGGTATATTTTATTAGGTAAAATTGATTTTATTTGAATTTACCTGTATGAAGCAAGAGCACAGCACGATCGCCAAAATTTGGATGTGAGCCATCATTGTGCTTTTTTGTTATAACATTCGCAGGTTAACACAAGTTCTGTATTTTTATACCCGAATGCTGCAACTTTTGCTGAACACGATGGTTCAAGTGAACAATAGTAAACACCTGGTATGTTAAATACCGTAATTACTGCTGTGCTATGGAAATTGTGTGAAAAAATAGGCATTACTTGGGTAATCGGCACACGTTCACATTTATATCTATACAGGATGTCTCACTGGTTAGGTAAACACTCCAAGTGGATAGCTAGGCATATTTAACGGGGGTTGTTTTAATTTAATATTTATATACAGAGAGGGGGTCGGGGTCTGTACACACATCTAATATAATTTTGGGTTATACAGCCGAGGCCGGTAAATTACCCAAACCACTCCCCGAGTAATACTCTCCATGTCTAGGTGTACGTGTAAATATGTAATAATAAATATACGATCCTCTTTAGCAGGGACGGATAACTGCAGGCGGCTGCTCATTAAGTTTAAACAAAATTGAATTTTCAGAACATTCGTACACGAAAAAGGAAAAGAGTGAAAATTCTTTTGAAAAACGGGTTGGACTGACATTTTTATAACCAGCCCTTAATTTTGAATTTACCATACCTGCTATAAAGGTAGGTACACCTCTTTTTTCATTTAAATTTTAGAACTCTTCAGATTAATGAAGTTGATAACTGTACACAGTCTGGAGTTAATACAATGTGATCTCGCTTAATGGGAATTATCTGATAAATCAATATTTTAAATATTAATACATATATTCAACTATATATTATATCATACTACAAGTTGCGTATCTTATCGTTTTTCAAGATAACTTTTATGGAACCTTACTTCTTAATATCTATATATTGGAAAACCAAAAAACATTTATAATAATTATTATTATTCGTAACTATAATTACTATGGTTAGATTGTTATACATTGTTAATTTCGCAAATAATTAACATGCGTGTTGACGAAAACGGTAGACACCCTCTATACACATCATAAACAATAATAATAGACAGAACGCGAAACCCTGTGTGGTATGGAAACCATCGATTACCTACATTGTATACACTCACAAATTTGTTCATTATAATTTTTTTTGTTGACTAATTGTTTTTTGTAGCCATATATACTCATATTTTTTTAAAATCGTCATTTTTACCGTGCAATTTACGCATGCAAAAATATAACAAAATGTTATTTTATATAAGGCATAATATATAAGTATTACTAATATTTGTTCTGTGGTATTAGGTACCTATAACTACCTAGCTATGCAAGTAGGTACTATTACTACTATTCAAAGGTGGGAATTATTGTAAAAACAAATTAATTTTAACTTAACTATAGTTGTTAAGTTCATAATTAATTTATGAACTTAACTAATTATTTAATTGACTGTTCAAATAATTGAAATTATTTCACTTATTTTCAGTTGAATTAAATTATTTAAAATCAATAATATTTTTTAAATTTCAGTTTCTAATGATTTTATACATCAGTTAGGTAGGTACCTAACATAGTTTTAAGGAAAAATAATCCATTAATTATTATTAGCAATAAAAAATAATAGAATAAATCTGTGAAGTTTCTTTGCAAAACAATATTATACAGATATGCACACAAAATAAATTATACCAAACAGACAACAGTAATAGTCGGCACTTCGGCAGGTACTAAGTAGGTACATAGACCTATTTCTTTTACCGAATTAATAATTATTAAAATACAATTTTTTTTTGTGTTTCATTATTTTATATTATTTTATTAATTTAACAATTAATCTTTGATATGAAATTATAAGTTGTATTGTTTTAATATTATATGCTGACCTTAAATTTCCATTTGATACACGGAATAATAATACTTGATAAATTATTAATTGACTAATTGAGATGTGCATGTCATATAACTAACATAATGTCCTATATAAGATTACGTATATACACTGCAGACTGCAGTGTACTTATATAATTAGTGTTCAATACAATTTTTCATTGTTTGACATTTTTGGGGCATAGAAAATATAAAAATGCTTATAAAAGTATTGTGTAACCTACCTATATCGGGCTATATAGTATGTCACAAAAGTTCCATATCACCGTTAGTTCTACATGGCAAATAATTTTATTTACGTACAGTTTTTAAGTAAGGACATTTTAATTGTATAGCATAAGATTCAAGTTTCTATAAATAAAAATAGGTAACAATTTTCTTGATCATAGTATACAAAATAGTATACAAAAAGTTATTAAAATTGAGTGAAAATCGACCAAGTTAAAGCAAATTAAATTGTTGATTTCGTAAGAATAATAGTTAGTTATGTAACCAACATCAATTGGATCGCAGATTTTTTATGACCTTCTGTAAATATCTAATTATTAGTGGAACCAGTGGAGGTTTGGAAAATGTATTATAATTGCAACATTATAATATAACTAGATGAATTTTGCCTGCATGTTTCCAAAAATCGAGACATTAGTCTATTAATATACTTATCTATAAGCTGCCCCCCCCCCCCCCAATCAAATTTTGGGTGTCTGCACTAAATGTTTTTGAGCGCTCTATACAAAACTTCCAATAAAATACAACCTATTAAAAGCGATACGAGTGTCCCATGCACATTTTCTACTGAATATATTATAATACTAGCTGAATATCCCAGGTTCACCTTTGCGTGTGGAGGTTTTTTTTTTGTGGCAAATCCTATAACGCAGGAATTTTGAAACTCTTATAAACATTGGACCCCTTTTTATCAACACTTTTTTTTTGAGTACCCCCTTCTTAGTTACTAAATTAAAATATATATAAAAAAGTCAGCAGTGGCGTACGCAGTGGTAGGGTTCTAGGGTTCTGACCCTCCTCTGAAATTTTTTCCTTCTACATAATAAAATGGGCGATTGAAAGCTCCGCCAGAATACCGGTTAGATAAAAAGGCAAAGAAAAGGTCTAATGTAAACTCCGTCATTTTTATTTTCTTACCTGTAATGGATATATGAAAACTTCGGCAGTAATTGTATAAAACTTAATAATATATCTCAACTAGAGAACTAGAGAAGCTCAAAAATCCAAAATGTTAGTGTTAGAGAATGTTATGAATAGTTATGATAATGGATATATTAGACTGAGAAGTCCTAATATTTACAAATTGTATTTCATCATTCTAGTGTACAGACATATATTATAACATAACATAACATACCTACCTAGGTTGACATTAACATATTTTATGATTATTGATTATTACAATTATTTATTATGATAATCAGATAATACACATGAAGATTTGGATGATTTATTCTGACAATTATTATTTTTATTAATTTTTGTATATTATTTGGGATATTATAATAACGTACATGATACGCCTGTCCTATAATAAATTAATTTTATACTGTGCAGAGACGTGCCTAGAAATTATTTTCGGGGAGGGGGTTCTATCTCCAGACCTAGCCTAATCAAGCTCCACATATATATTATATTATGGTCAACTTTTATTAATAATTATTTTTATTTTTCGGATGGGTTTTTAACACCCCCCNCTAGGCACGACCCTGATACTGTGACTTGATTTTCTTCAATCACAGAGTTTACATGAACTCAATTTTACCTGTTTTCTTTCCTGGCGGAGTTAACACTTATAAAAGGTACTTGTGGCGGAGTTTATATGCGCCCAATAAAATCTCACTTACACCCAAAATTAATACGCAGAGTAGATTAATCGTTTAACATTTTTAATAAATTAAAAATAATTTGTAAAATGGCAATAACATCGAGAAACATAGTTTCATTTTTTTGCTTATAATAAGACGTGAATCGTCTGCTTTTAGTGTCGTATAGTGTATCACCGGTTATTATAGTTATTACTACGTTTGTTACGAACTGAAGGGCCAATAGATGACCATTGACCAGATTAAACACTCTAAGAGTAAGCTAAATATTTGAGACTAAATCTATAGTAAGTTTTAACAAATTATATAAAAACTGTTTTGCAAAAATAATGTAAATAAGAATGAATTGGACCTCTCCCCCGCCCACGGGTTTGTAATTAATCTTAAATAAAACACTGACCGAACTAAAATCCTGGGTAAGCTGCTGGGAGTCAGTGACCTACCTTTATAAAATAATTCGACTTAAATGGGCAAGTCTAGGATTGGATTTAGCACTGTCTTGGTATTTATTTTTTTAACGTGGTATAAACTACTTACTTTCTTTACTTCTTTGACACCCCTAAAAACAATTTTTGAGATTTTCGTCAAAACTCAAAATCAATTTAATAGTTTTTAAGTATATAATATTGCTACATACATACATTTGGTTTTAAAATATAGTTTCATTATTCGAGACCATAAGTGCGACAATTTGATTCATAGGCTTGTACCTCATTTGCCTGAGTAACCAATACTCGTACATATGGCAAACATTTATAAACAAGAAAAAAGTTTTCATTTCCAGGATAGATAGTGTAATAATTATCTTGTGTGAACACACTACACACAGATTTTCTGTAAAAGTGTAGACATTTTCAACTAGACACAAGTGTTTTTTGATTTGAAAGTACTGTTTAATAGTACTCAAACAGTTACACACCAGATATACATTTTTGCTTTACACTTACCTACTGTTTTTAGTCAGGGCTCAGGAGTAAATGTCTTAGACTATCAAATATCAATTAGTACATAGAAATTATGCAATTAAAAAGGAACCAGTAATATATACTGATTAATAAAATTATAATTCTGTTACAATTCGTTGGATTTTCTCAAAATATTAGGCAACAACAATAAGATGGTAAAAAAAAACCATGTCTTATTTATAGAAATAACTTTTGTAATAAAAACAATCATTTATTATTAATAATTATACATTCCATCAATACCATTTTAGTGGCATATGATAATAGGCTACAGTACAGCCTTTAAAGTAATCATTTAATCCTCATTATTAATATATGATTCTCTACAATGAACACAGTAGTTTCGTTTTAAAATTCATTAAAATATCTGTACACTGAAATTAAACAACTTTTAAGAATATGGTTTGAATGCTGTATTATTGTTTATACATCATTTTCACATTCGTACATTCATATTTTATAATGTATGATTTGGTAAAAATATTAACATTAATAAAAAATATGGAGTTTGGAAAATCACAAAATTGAAAAGTATTAAAACTATGAGATATTTATGATTATTATCTCTAGAACAACAATTATATCAATTACTGTTGTCAAGATTATCTTTATACCCTATCCCCCCTCCTTCCCTACGGATTATAAACTTGATACAGATTAGATGAAACTACAATTTTGTATTCATTAATTGTTTGCAATTTTTCTAAAACACTCTTCTCCAATGTCAAAACTCTAATTAATAATTATACATAAGTTTAGTCCACTAAATTAATATTAATGCCAGCACATAGCATAATAGAAAAAAAACAAATTATTTTAGATTATAAAAGTAGCAACCTAATGTTTCATATTAGTACAAACATGTTTGTAATTCATTCATAATGTGTTTAATTAGAGATTAGAAAAATATATATATAAACGTAATATTGCATGACTATAACAGTATGTATTATTAGTACATAATTTTAATAATAAAATAGATTGTTGATAATTATTTAAAGTCTATTCAAGATATTAAGAACTATGAGTTGGTATATATAAATATTTTTCTATCAATACAAAGGCTTGGTATTGATAGAGAAATAACCTAACCTTGAGTTCAAAATGTTATTCTAATATCTGGTTTGAAAATTCTTTAGGAGGAAATATTACTAAATAATGGATTATTTCATACAATTAACTAGTTTTCACTATTTACATTGTAATAGGCAAATAAATCTACTTAAATAAAAATAATAACTAAAATAAAACACTCAATTAATAATTTAGCTAAATAACAATAACCTTAGCATAATAAGATAATTAAACCAAATAAACAGAATATATTTCTATTACAGTAGAAAATAAAATGGTCACAGTAATATAGTAATATTTAAAAAGAGAACTATTTCCTTGTCTGCCAAAAAAAATATCAAAATATTGTCACCCCAACCACACATTTTTTAAATTTAATGTTATCCAAGATCAGATAAACCTTGGCTAATAATAATTTACACTTATACACATAATATATTATATTAGAAATTAAAAAATTTCAAAAACTTATTGGAAAAAAAAACATTAACATTCAATTTAAATTGTAGTATAACTTAATTATAAAGTTAGAACATTTCCTTCAATTTTGGAAATTTTAACATTTATAACAACTATTGTAAATAATCTTACATACTATAAAAATTGTAAAAATTATCACTTTAAATCAAGCCAATGAATTAGCATTAAAATTTTTTTTATAAAATTAGCGATCCTTAAGGCCACAAGTTAAAAGTAGCCAAGATCTACCAGAAATAGCATTATAACCAACAAGGTAACTATGATTGGTTTGGAAACAGGTCTCTTCTAAACACATTGATTACCCTATAATAAAAATGTCAAGTGTCAATAAATAATCAGTCAAAATAAAATACAGAATTTTTACTGGAACTTTACCTAATTAATTAAATTTGAGCCGGTATACTAGACGTGGAAGCAACTTCCATCATCTCATCTTGATTTTGATTCAAGAAATTACTACTACTGTTGACTGTTGTCAACACATGAGGTCTATATGGTTTCCTTGCAGAGTGATTGTTGAATGGTCGAGCACATGCATCAAACAACCTTGATTGGTCTATTTCCCTGTGATTTGTAGTGCTAGCTTGCACAATTCGGGGTTGATCTACTGGTACTGGATTAGATCTCGCTACATTTGGATACTGCGATGGTGAAGATGACTTATCAGTTTCCATTTCTTCATCAATTCGGGTAGCAGAAAGCTGAGCACATGTTGATGCAATCGGTTCAAAATCACTGAATGGATTAAGATTCCGTGGAACATGCTGATTACACAAAAAAAATGTATGAACATTTCTGTTTAACATGAATAATTAAACATAAATAAGTACCCCTCTTTGAAATTGGTCAACAGGTCTTCTTGAGTCACATATTCCAGCTTGAACTACAGGTGTGGGTGCTGACTTTTGTATTCTCGTTTCGAGTTTTGGTTTCTTTGGCATTACATTCTTATGGAAAATATCCTCATCCTCCATTTGCTTTTCCATTTCTTCTGTTCTACACTGTTGATGTGCATTTAATGCATGTTCTCGACTTGTACTTGTGCCAAGAGTATCTAATAATGATGGAGCTATATAAGTAAAACCCTGAAAAAAAATATAATAATGATGATGAAAAAGTAGATAAATATACTTTTTCTACACTTAAAATAAACAGTAATACATTAATAATAAACATTAACACATTTTTAACTTCATAAAATAATTAAATATACATGGGAAAAGGTTAAGGGGCTAACGTGTGACTTGTTTTTTTGCTCAAAAACATGCCTTACAGGAAAATCTCTCACACCTTGTATAATAATCAGATTTTGATAATTTTTTTTGTTAGAAAGAGAGATACTTCTTATAGGATTTTAATTTTTAAAGATTTATTTATAAATCCTACAATAAGAGTTTGAATTTCACAACTTTTTACAAGGTTTTAATTTTTGTATTATTTTTCTTTTCAGCAATTTAATCAAAAATCAAAGACCAATGCACCATGTAGGAAGTATTTCGCTTTCTAACAAAAAAAAAAAAAATATCAAAATTTTATAATTCTATAAGACTTACGAATTATTCCTGGGAAGTCATTTTTTCGATACAATACATCATATAACCCCCCTTCTCCTCCCCTAAATAGTTATCGAACAGTAGATAACTGGAAAAGTATTGTAATTAGGGTGGCAACTAAAATACAAAATATAATTTTCAAATATTATAGAATTGCGGACAATTTGAAAAATTAGGCCCAGGCCCCTTAAAGCCTTAATGTAAACGAATAATGTTATACTATTATCAATAATATCAATACCACAATAAATTAATATTAAAACACAGCAGTCAATATTTACATCAAATTTAAATTCATCGTTATCATGTGGCATAAATGAATCTTCTACAGGTGAATCAACTGGAAGCTGATTGGTAAATCTGGAATCAAATTGTGTTGTGTCGTCTGCACCCGTCTAAATAATAATACCTCAGTAATTATGCGATCATACTGAAAAAGTAAGCATTAATTGAGCTTACTAATTTTGGTTTGTATGGAGCTTCACAAGTACGATTTATTATATCCTTCCAGACGATTTTTTGGAAAAACCGATGATTTTTTATGTCTTCTCCTTGATTTATACCAGATCCCAGTCTATGGCTAACTTGTCTCTGTCAATTTGAAAACAATGTTTACTTAATTGCAATTAATTTAAATAATTATAAACAATGTATAATAAAATATTAATTATTATCTATAAGTCAATTTTTCTCAAATTGCTTTTCAATATTTATATTTATATAGGTAATTAAAATATAACAAATTCATTTTTTACTTACTTTAAGTAATTTTCTCATAAGATCTTTAGCTTCAGGTGATACATATGGTGGCATAATAAGTTTTCCTCTTAGTATTTTTTCAATAGTTTTTTTTCTATTATCAGCACTAAAAGGGGGCTTGAAAGTAAACACATTTAAATTTTAATACTCATAATAATTAATTATAATAATACTACTCACAGTTCCTGTTAACATGTCAAACATAAGAGCTCCAAGTGACCACCAATCAACTGGTTTCCCATGACCACTCCTAGTTAAAATTTCTGGTGCCCTGATACAACAAATTAATGTTTTTTAGCTGAATTCTAATTCAATTTGATAAATGCTTGAAATTTCTTACATGTATTCAATAGTACCGCAAAATGTATGAGTCACGCTAACTCCATGAACATGTTCTTTACATAAACCAAAATCGGTCAGTTTTAAATGACCATCTTGGTCTAATAATACATTTTCTGGCTTTAAATCTCTAAATACACAAATACATGAACTCAATTTAAGTCATAGTTTATACATTTAAACAATGTTAACATACAAGAATATTATATTAAGTATCACATTGCTTTTAGTAAACATTTAGGACATTTATAAATAAAAATCATAATCATTTTTATTTTATTTATATTTGAGACACAAGAAAACCATATAACTATTAACTACTAAATACTAATTTAAGAAATCATGATCCAATTGAATATTGTATAAAATAGCAACTTTTTCCCACCATTATATTTTTTAATTATCATTTGTTGCTTTCTTTTCATTAGAAAAATATTTTTAAGGGCTTTGAGATGTATTGTGTTTTATAATGAAATTAACCTAACAGTGTAACAAGTACACTTCACCAAATCCAAATAATTATTATTATTACAATATTTGGATAAAAATTATAAATATCCAATCACCTTTAATGGCATTATGCCTCAAAACTATGCCTGTATGTATTATATGTAAAACAATTCTTAAATTTTAAATATTTGAAAATTGAAAAATAATTGATAATATATTAGATAAATGTAATAAATAAATATACTTAAGAACGTTAACGAGATATTTCTGGATAAATTAATACCTGTAAACTATGCCTTGACTGTGTAAATGCTGTATTGCAATAATAATTTCTGCCAGATAAAAGCTGTAATATTAAAATTATAATGGTGTCAATACATAATAAGAAAATGATATCGGCTAATGTTAACCAAACTTTTAAATCAATTAAATCAGTAGTTAACTGTGAAACCTAAAAAAAAAATACAAGCAATATTGTATTTTAATAATATAAGCACATAAATAAAAGTATTTTATTTTTAAAAAGTTAGAACTCAGTTAATACAAAAAATAATAAAAAAACGCTATATTATATAATTTATCTTTAATCATTATTTAATACAAATTTAAACAGAAATTACTCATTACCTATTCAATGCTTTAGTATGTCTTTGCAGTAATCATTACACATTTTTAAGTCACATATATCACCAGATACTACTGGTTTGAAAGTATTTACTTAGTAAGACCCACCTACCTTCCAACCTAAACCACTTTAATCAGATTTATGATAAAAGTAACTGTTATTTGATCATTAAAATAATTATAAACATAATTACTTTATTGTAAATTAAAATTATACATTGTGGTCAGTAAATGGTCAACATACCATCCACCTCACAATATATCGGTGGTTAAATGTTAAACTCAAATTGACTGGATACTACTAATAGAACTGTATAAAAAAGCAGCTCAAGGTTGAGTTACTTCAGTAGGTCAATTTGGCATGGAATGACCTATTTCTTCTATGTATGAAAAAATATAATATTATCATTTATTACAAACACATTTAGTGTTTACACTTGTCTTAAAATAAACCATAATTTATTTAACATTATTACAATAAAGTATAATATCATGAAATAAATCTCTTATTAATAATAATAGTAACAGTTAAATACTCAGTATTAATTTGTTGTAGAGGTTCGGGTTCCACAGTCACTACTACACAAATTGTTGATAATAATAAATAACTAAAATAATAAACAATGTACAATACCATGCTGTGTCTTCTAAGAATATTCCTTCTCGTTCTAAATGCATGAATAGTTCACCACCACTTAAATATTCCAAAATAAGATAAAGTTTTCCATTTGTTTGAAATGCATAGAACAAACTGACTATAAACGGATGCTAAAAATATTAAAATTAATAAATATATTAATTATATCCATATTTAAACTCTAAACACGAAAAACAAAATATCTGAGTATTGAGTATTTTGTAAATTAATTTGTGTGCAGCCAAATAATAGTATTGTATAAACAAAATTGAACTTGAACCTTTACAGCCTCGAGTATATTGCGCTCTGCTTTGGTATGAGCCATATCCTTGGAATTCCTTACAATTGTGGCCTTACGTAAGACTTTCATGGCAAAAACTTGATTTGTATCATTACCAGTCTTCTTGCGAACCTGAAATACTTTTCCATAACCTCCTTTTCCTAGTACTTTCAATATCTCGAAACAATCGGGAGTTAATTTTTCTTTGGTAAGGTTTACAGTTCTTTCTGATAACTTTAATGTTTCTACATCACTGGATCTATAATTTAAAAAACATAATTTTAATATTTTAATTTTAAAGATGTTCTGTTACTTATCAATTATATTTTAAAATTAGTAAAGCACTAAACTAAATTCCAAAATTGAACAATTTGACTGATAACTTTTAAATTTAAATGTTGTATGAACTATGAAATATCTTTAACAGTAAAACACTATTACATTATAATCACAGGTTTGTAGGAATTCTAGCATTTCTTTCACTAAGAATTTGTTTGAAACTAATCACTATAAGAAAAAAATGTTTAATATTACTGGGAATAATAATACCTAATAATAAATTAAAATAACATTCACTGAAAACATTGAAAAAAAAATTATAGTCTATATCACAGGATTGTTTTGAAAAGAAACATATTAAATACCAAATACGAAAAGATTATCTTACTTTTCATCATAATCATAAATGTTGGGTTCTTGAGCATAACATGCCTAAAAAAAAAACAAAAATTAAAAATACATCTTAAATTATTTAATATCTATGTAATTGTCATATTTTTTTTATTAAGTTTAAGCATAAATGTCTCATTTTTAATTTTCCAGGTCTTTCTATTACACCCTATACTTATAGATAAGTAAATAAAGTATAAAGAAACGCCTAAAATTAAACAGATCATTTCATAGCTTATTGGGTGTGTTCAATTTAAATTGAACTATATAAATTATTGTATACAAAAACAATTCTAAGCAAAGAAAGTCAGCCTATATTACTAAATATATTTTATTATATTATTGCCATTAAAATTAATTTATTTTATTATCAGTCGAGCTATTAGTAGTGCAGTAACCGGTTGAACTGATTTTTTCAAAATAATTGCATTTGAAAATGTCAATGTGTGTATGAAAAATAATATATTTAATAATTTATTTTAAAAGTTTCAAGGACCCACATTTTGCAATTGCAACAAAATCACTAAGATCGTTAATCGTCGTTAAAATATCTAATTTTATTCTAATTTTTAAACTTAAAATATCAATAAAAAAAAAAAACTATGCCTAGGTATATATTTTTATAGATCTTTGGTAAAAGTATGAGTTTCTTGTTATGAAAATTGTCTTTATAATTTTCAATTTTTTGCTTGAAAAATCAAACATTTTATAAATTTTTAATTACATAATAATTTGTATATTTTTGTAATTTTAATGATTTTTGTTGAAATTTGAACTTTAAATGCTTGTAAAAAAACAGATTTATTTCAGATGTTTTTTCCTGATATAAAAATAATTTATAAGGAACTAGGTATTCAATTTTCTATTTTTTTGACCATGCAAAATATTTTTTACTGACATTTATAGGAAAAAAAAATTGAAAATGTTGTCAGTGTCCATTAAAAATTAAAAAAGAATGGGTACATATTTTGAAAATCTTGTATGAAAAATGGCCATATAAAACTTGATGAGGATTCAATTGAATTACTGTAGAAAACAAAATTTTGTCAAAAACTGGTTTTGCTTAAAAATTCCCGTTTTTTTGGCTGCTAGCCAGTAGGGAATACTTATGCATAATAAATTAATTTCCATAGGGGACATCAATATAACCAAGTTTGGTTGGCTAGTACCAACTAATATCGGAATTTACAATCCTCAGCCTTTTAATCAATGAAAAACAAATAAAAAATTTTTTGGGCGGTAGGATGGTTATTACGGCCATGGAGGTAGGGACTAACAATCCCTCTTAATGTTCACCCTGGCTGTGGGATATTATTGATATTGTTATAAATAATTGATAGTTCAATACAAATACCAATAAGAAGTTTTTTCTAAAATGTATATGAGCAAAATACATGTTATATAATATGAAGGAACCTAATAATACATAATATATGTTATCTTATAATAATAGTCTACTCATAAAAAAGTAAAATAAATATTTTATCGGGTATTTTATTAATATTTTGTGCACACTTAAATGATGTAAAATTAAATAGTATTAAATAATTGAGTCTTAACAATAAGTAGAATGTTCAATTGTTTTTGTTACATTATCTTGAAATTATAATTACTATGGGCATTTAACAATCAATATACATGCGAATAAATGTTTAACAATTACCTACATATTAAAAATAAAATGTTGTACAAATAAGTAATATTGATAAAATAATATTATAATAACTTTGAATAGTAACAATATTATCTCTATTATTATTATCATTATTAAAATATACTTCTATAAATGTAATAACTAATAAATATAATTTAAAAAATCAAGTTTATGATTTGTAGGTAGGTTCCTAGTAAATTATAATGTTAAGAAAATTATTGTGAAAGATCTTTCTAAAACAATTTGGTATTTCATGTAATACTTCTCTACAATAATAATAATTTTTGTATAGCATGGTGTGACTTGGTGGTTGGCTTTGTGCTGCTAATTCCTGGATGGGTGACCACCCGGATTTTTAGGGACAAACACATACATGTGTTCCTCAACCAACCGTAACCCTCCTAAAAAGTGCTAATGGTCATGGTTGCCAATACTTAAGAGTTAAGATCAATAAAAATAAATAAATATATACCTGCATGAGTAATAATTCTATTAGTAAAATAGGTGGAAATGTCCTTAACATATTACTTTATTTTTTATAATAAAAACATAGTATTGTCTGACAACTGTATAGTTTATGGGTTTAATATAAGGTATTTAAGTAAAAAATAAAATGATGTTAAAACAATAAAATATCTCTGAACACATCCAATAACAATTTTTAATATTATTTTATTATTAGGTATCTAGATAATTTTAATCAGTGGTTATATGCAAAATTTAGAGTAAAATGTGCATTAATAGTAGGTACGGGTACTGATTTACTATTTTAATATTCAAAATTATCAACACAGTATGTATTATAGTGTAGATATTACTACATATATATTACTATATTACTAGATATTACCTTTTAAATTTTATTTAATAAAATATAAAACTATAAGTTTAAGTACCTAACTAATATTATTAGGTACAAATGGATAGTAAATAGATAAGTAAAAAAAATGTCAACAAAACCTAATAGGCAATTGTAATTAACTGCATTCAAGGTCAATAAGGTTACAATTCATATCGATAGTGTTTTTAATTATGAAAGTTTTGTTAATTAGTAAATTATCAGTAATCCATTCTCAAATTATTTAATACTAATGCAGTAATGCCATCCAAGTGCAAAATAGATAGGGTTCCTATATTATATTTTGTTAAACAATCTTATCTTATAAACCTATTAAGAAGATAGCTCGGAAGCTAGATACTATTGTACCAACATAATATCTAAGTATACCTACTTTAAAAATGTATAGTATTTGACTTTGTTATCTATTCAATGTACTAGGAAAATTCTAATGGCAATAGAATAAAAGAAGTAATAACAGGGATAATAATTATTATTCTGACTATTATATAATATTATGATGAAAGTTAAGATCTAAATAGAAGAAACTAGCATAATTGACTATCTAGTTGATAGATATAAATTTAAGGGTGGAGGATTTAATAGTAACCCTTACAAACACTTATATAATATTATATAAATAATAATATATGAAGAAAAATCTTAAGTATATAATATACAATTGTATTGCAGTAGCCACTACACATAAATTATAGTACCTTCTATTATTTAGTTAAGTATATACTTTGGTATAAACTAGATACCTATCAGTGGCACAAGTAGGTTTTTTGGGGCCCTGGCGCAAAAAATCTAATGGGGCCCCTGTACTTGTATTATATAGATGTAAAAAAGTTTTATTTACATTATTGTTTCTACATGGCTATTAATCAGCTTTTATAACAGAACTTGTTTTTGTTGCCTTGTGATTACTGATTTGAATACTATATATATTTCCAATAAAAAAACAGCAAATAACTCAAGAACTAAAATGGTCATGCTTTTGCAAAAATCAAGTATTTACCTTCCTACGCTGTTAACATAATATTTGTTAAATATTTTAAAACAATACTTTAGGGCAAAAACTGCATTCCCACCTAGTTCAAGTCATAATTAATATTTAATACAGTAATTTTATTGAATATTTAAACATAACATAAATTGGTTTATTTTCTACATTTTTCTTTTTGATGAAGGACACTCAATTTAGACATCAAACCTAGCCAGGGAATTTAAAGCATACCCTGGCGTCCCCTATTGTTGAGGCACTGATACTTAACATGAAAAGAAGAAATTAAAAAAAATAATTGTTGATAATTTTAAAATATTTTAACTAGAATGAAGAAATAAAAACTTATTCAATAAATTTGAACTCAGTCAATTTTCTTTTTAAGAAAATATTCTCTTTTTAAAAAATCTCAATAAGTTATAATAAATTAACTTATATCTAATGGTTTTGGCAATGTTTGGAAACAATAAAACTAAACAGGTTCTTGTCCATAGAATAAAAGTGTGATGAATATGAAATAGATACCTACTTTGCTTAGGTTAGTATAGACTTAACATACAGCTAATAAACCTTGAATAGTTAGGTACGAGTTGTAAAAATACTTTAAATGTATCATACCTAGATAAAATTAAAACTTACCAAAATAGTTTAAAAAAAATTGTATATGCTTATAGATAGTCAACATCTATTGATATTCAATAAATCCAAAAATTGTTGAAACAAAGTGTAAAAATGTATAAGAACACATGAGTATCATTTTACATGTGTAAGTAGTAGGTAATAGGTATGCACAATTGTATTCTATAAATTGCAAGTGCAATACTTCTGCAACATCCTAACACTTCTAAATATTCATTATTGAGTAAGAATTACATTTTTAGTATATTTTAATTTAAAGTTAAAATTGCAATACAACAGCAATAAGCTAACTTAAGAACATAAGAATACATTACCTACTTAAGTATCAAATTATATTCAAATAGAGACCTATCAATTGTAGGCATGTATATTTTATAAATGTATTTTTATCTATATTTAATTTGTCATAAGACAATATTATACTAAGTTCATTGAAATCAAACAATTCACATGTAAATCTCATGTAAGTGAGCCGAAGTGATGATCATGTGGTAAGCATAAGGAAACTGAAATATCACGGTTCACAAACGAAGTGTGTACATAGGGATTAGTAGATCCACAAGTGGGAAACTGAGAAAACCAGTAATTGTTGATTTCTGAAAAAGTAAAACAGAGAAAAATAAACGGACCTACCAAGTCAGATTCACCTATCCTATGTGCAATATTCATACCTAACTATCATATAGGAAAACAGACAGGTGTTCGTCAAAATACAGACACTACACAGACACCAACGAAATTGTAATACAATAGGTATACCTTATAATACAATTATTATTATGTCTCACCTCTTCGATTTCGAGTAATTCGTCGTCGGAATCGCTGTTGTTCTTCGGCCCGTTTACGGGATGAGCCTCGTTGTTTTGCAATTCCAAGTCAAAAACTACGACCTCGGCCATGGCTTTGGTGCGGAAGTGCGAGTTCGTTCTGGTATTTATATATTTTGTTACGTTTTATTCGATTCGATTGTCTTGTACGCGTATTCTGTGGCGGCGCAGGCGGCGACGATGCTAATAATAATATGCCGAATATCAAATGCGCGGCGTTTGCAAAACGGACGGCATTATACAATAATATTATTACAGCGCCGTCGGAGCGGGGAAACAAATAGAAAGAAACGCGAAATCAAAACGAACGATAGTATATGATATAATATTGTGTCTATAAGTATGTAAATCGCCTAATAAGACATGTTCGGTCGCGACATTATCGTCATACACTGAAATATACAGCCTTGTAGGTCTTTAACAATATATATTTTTATTTTTTACAATAATAATAATAGAAATGATAATAATAATAATAATAATTATTATTATTATTATTACACACGACGGCCTACGACGACGATGATACCGTTTTACGCTCAGATCATTCACTCAACGTAGTCACTGGACGGCGGGCGCACACTCGTAGAATGTTTCCGATGAACGGGACGCGGGTAGAATCGCGTGACGTGGGTGGGGTGGTAGAGGTGGTTCCGACGAAATATTGTAGTACGTCCTACAGTGTAGTGTGTGTATAGTATCGCCGATTCACAGCACATAGGTAGTACGTTGTAGTAAAATAAGCCTGCAGTGGCAGTTGTAGTGGTAGTAGTTGCAGTTGGCAATAGTGCAACGCGCGATAATAATAATATTATTATTGCTAAACCGCTGACGGTGATTGTTGTTGCGACGGGTGGAGGGGAACTGGCGTTCCGCTCCGCCCGCCGTTAAGGGGTCTGCGATAGTGGCAATCGGATCGGAATGCGCCGCGGAATGCGTAAGGTCCTGCTAGAACGACGTGACACGTGAGGTTAGCGAGTGGTTACCGATGGTTACCGAATGCCGTTACGTAAACGTAACTTGTCGCGGCGCGGCGACCACTATCGACCAATAACAGCTGCTGCTGCTTATCTCGCGGTTATATCGACTTTTTATGTACTTTAATCGACAATATATTTTATATAGGTAGTTATCGATCCTTCCATAGTTGTTGAAATCGTATTATAATCGCGCGTTGTATAGGTATTGGGTATTACTTTTTTTCCAATTTTAAGTAATTTAATATACTAGTACCTAATAGCTTAATTTTTTTAAATTTTTTTTATACATTTTGATTAAAATATCGCTTTGGGTCAAAAACCTTAAAAATGTAATGCAAGCTCTTAAGGAGTTATTATTATAACTATTTTATAATTTTTATAAACATGGTTTGAATGTTGACAAAATTCGTACGAATCACGAAAATTTGTAAATAATTTTGTCGTTTAAAATGTTAAAAATATTTAAATGTTCAAATTATATACCTATATAAGGATTTAAAATGTAATAGGTACAAAGTTTCTCATACCTACTTAGTCATACTGGAACGAAGTATACACGTAGGCACAGTTTTTTTATAGACATTTTAAGCTAAAATTTAGATAGAATTAGAAATTTAAACGAAAAATAATGATTTTAAATTTTTTTGCGGGTAAGTTGTAAGTACCTACTTAAAACTTTTAACATAATACATTATACACACAATAATGACATTTTATAATGTTATATTTTCGGTAGACATTAAATCTACTGTATTATTAAAAGTAAAATAAATTACTTTAGTAGTTTTATTATATTGATATACCTACATAAATCATGAAATAAACTTAGTAATTAGTAATATAGACTGACAGTGCGTCATCGCTCAGAATATTTTTTTGTAATCAATGATGTGTCGTTGTCATAGTATACGAGTTAGCAGACACTCAATTTGTCGACCAAGAAACTAGTTTTTAATGGTCTTTTACAATTCCTAATTCACCGACACTAATTTTTTAAGCTCGTTCAAAAAGCTATATAAAATGTAATACGAGCTGCCACAAGCTGTTCTTTTTGAAATCTAATAATATTAAAAGCAAGATTTTTCTATAAGCTAATGAACGTAAATTCAGACAAAATCACAAATATTTGCAAATTATTTTGTACCTAGTACAAATTGTTTAAAATGTTCCTTTTAAAGCTTTAAAGCTTAGTCTTGAAAGTTTAGTGCATTAACAATTGAAATAATAATGTACGTCGTATATCATGATTTATAGGGATATACCGAATACTGATATACCATAACCAAAGTTAAATATTTAAATATACATTTTTATAATTCATGCATTCTTTATAGCAATTATATAAGATAAAATATCAATGATATGATATAATTACATAATAATATCTACTATTCGTCTATGCACGAGACTATGATAAATGAGAGTATGAAACTGTTCATTTGTTCTTTGTATTTATCTCAATAATCTATGTTTTATTTTACACAATAATCGTTTCTTATTTCGACTATTATAATGATAATTTATTATGAACGGTCAAATATCAGAAAATAACTTATAATATTGGTGGTTTAACCTAATCATAATGGTTACTTTTGAGTGGTATGTTATAATGAAGTATTGTATGATTTAGGAGCAGAACCTATGTTATATATGTATGACTGAAGTGCTAGTATGTTAACAGATATATGATTTGTGTAATAGTTATTGTTTATTAATTGTAATTTGAGCTATCTAGTGTGAATAGTTGAATCATAATTCGATTAGGTTTAATTTCAAAATGAGTTGTTACATGTACAATTGATATATATTTTGATTTTTGTATAAATATTTTAAATAATTGATAGGTTAGGTACGTTAGATGCACTGCAGTATTCAGTACACATGACCTACAAAAGTACATCGTGTGTATTTTTGTATAATATTGAGATATTTACTTAGACTTAAGTTTTTATAGTTATTTTTCCACTTGACAAGCATCTACATTTCTATATGGTATAATGCATATTATACTTACGTCTTACATATATACTTACGTACTAATTTAATTTTTAAAAATAACTAACTTACAAGGCTACAATCACAGTGGCTTTTACACGTTTGTAGGTTACGATCAATTAGTCTAAATATTTATAATAAACATTTCTTTAACAATCTAAAATGTATCTATTGTTTGATTTATTTTTAAATATTTGTTCTTTTTAAGTTATATTTTCATAATTGATCAATGCAAGTAAGATAGTGTTCCGTGCCTTAAAGGTTTGTCGCACTGTAATTGTGCTATACCTAACTCTCCACGCTGCAAACCGGCCATTATCTGCTACCAAACTACGAAATAGGTACCTAATCACTCTTTCTTTCTTTCAAATTTGGACTGAATCATAGCCTCTCCTGTATCATTTTCAACTGATTGGGAGTGCTTCATGTGACTTCAATCATCATCTATGATTAATCAATCATTCTAATCTTTACTTTATTGTAACAAATTCAAAAATTGTTTTTCTCTCTCGGTTCAACTTAGCTTATATTGATGCTCTTTCGTCAAGTAAGTCACCTTAATCAAACCTACATTTAATTGTCTATTGAATATAGATTTTAAAATTAATTAGAAAATGTAGGTACCTATGAAGGGGCCTACTTTAAATTGTATCTATTTTTTGTGCGTCATGGTTAAAATATAATAACTTAGGTATGTTACCCACTATTATACTTCTTTATTAAAAAGAAAAGAAAGATACGGTTGTAAATACTATTTTATTCTTAGCGACTATAATTTAATACACAATCATTTAATATGTTACAAATAATATCATAATATAACTAATATAAGTATTTCAATTTTATGCTTGAGATTATTTTTCGACGATTCAGTGTAGAGTGAAAACCAAGAGTTCTTAAATAAAACTATTAAAATAATAGAAATTCTTATGAGCTTATTATAAATACTATTTGATTTGCAGTATTCATGGAACAATTATTTACGAGTTAATTTTTACGTACACTTGCAAGTTACACTATAATACATAGTACAAAATAAATGTTCAATGTTCTAAATCAAATGAAAACATTTCATGTGAACGTGAACTAAATAATATGTTTTAATTAACACGTGAAAGTAAATTAAAATGTACTTAGTTGTTTACAGTTTAGTGTACACAAATATTTTATTTTATTAATGAATTTTAATATTATAAGTTTGAAGTTACCTAAGTCATAAAATATTTTATAGATTATCTAACTTACAGCATTCGTTTCATTTATTTATTATGAACTATGAAGTATTCACAATAGTTGAAACATTTGGAACAATCCCAGAATGTACAATTTAACACATCTTGAAATTTTGCTTTGATTGGAATATTTATCATTGCTTTCAAATTTAAAATAATAATACACCACTCAACTGGGTGAAAGCGAAACGTGTGCCCAACGCACTTTCAAGAAAGAAAAACTTTCAATTTTTTCTTTAAAGACCTGCATGTAGTTCAAGGTTAATCACAAGTATTAGTTGTATTATACATACAAATTCAGGTAAGACTTAAAGTGTTTTTCTATTTAAAAATTGTAATGTTCAATATTATGGTGAAATTATTGTACAAATAATTCAATTTATTTCCAATATGAATATTATATATATTTTCCATTCAAACAAGTTTGAGACTTTGAGTTATACTTTGATAGGTGACCTTTGTAGGTACATATTATTATACATTTATGTATACGTATATAATATAGAGAACGTCTTGTATATAATTTTGTCTTGTGGATTAAATCTATAAACAATAAAGTAAACCCTTTTATTGAAAATTAAATACATTTGGATTTAGTAATTTAAAATAAAATAATTCTGATTTTCATATCAGTTTTCAAAATGAATTAAAAAAGGTCAATTTTAGTTTAAACTTCTTTCAAATGTTAAGTCCAAAATCAAAATGTTGAATCTAGTTTGTCGAAAAATTGTTTAAAAAAATAAGGTAAATCGAGAATTTTTACTCAAAATTAGTTTTTTGTAACATAATAGCTTTTGTGTTTTGAATGTAACTCCAAAAGAATATAACCCTAGAGCCTAGATATAGTATAACATTTTTCGAGCTATTTATGTAGGCATTATTTCATTTTTTTTTTAGTTTTCAATCATCTCGCAATCAAAAAGCTTGAAAATGAAATACAAGGTTCCATATCAATTGTTATTACTTATTAATGATACATGTGCACAATTCTTTTATATTAGCATTTTAAGTATACATTTTGCCGAAACTACATATTTAAACAAAGAATGTATAGTGGTATCCAGTTGCTCACCTTTTAAAATTATTAGAATGTGCTATTATGTAAAGAGTGCCCCTTGGTTTCAAAATATACTTCACAAATAACTTGAATGCAAGCAAATAGTCTTATTGATAGACGCATCATTACCTATCCATTTACTTTTTAATATTGATACTTGATGCATTAATTTAAACTAATGCAATTATTTAGAACACAAAAAATATGTACAAAGTCATAAAAATGATGATGTTTTATTGAAACTTGACAAAATTTGAATTACTTAAGTGTTTTTAATTAGAGTTAATAATTTATACAGTGAATTATCTGGTGACAAATCTCGAAGCCACCTGTCTAACAATGCAAAATCAGCGTTTTCCACCTCATTACAGGGATCTTGGGCTTTACTCAATGGTTGCGGAACAAAACGATGTCCTGTAACATTTTTTTTTCATAATTAATTATTAATATTACTATTCAAATATTTTACATTGACATTATACAGTTTTGAATATTAATAAATAATAATCAATAATCCTTAATATGTTTACTATAGCTGAATAATTGCAATACGAATAAAAACATATTGAACAATAGACTTTTTATTATTTATCTTACATTTTAAAAATAAAATACACAAAAAACCTACTTAATAATTTTAAGAAAAGTCGAATAATACCAAATTAATTAAAAAATTATGGTATAAAAAACTAGAATACTTTTAAAGTCAACTTATACGTATAAAACGTTCATAAAAACTAATTTACCTAAAAGACGTTCTGCTGCCCCACACAAACCACACCATTCACGATATGTCAGAATTTGACCACTTGACCATCCAATCATCTGATGCAAATCTGTAGCTTCCTGGTTAGAAAATTGTCTGCCCATCACTTCTCCTAATGCAGATATGAGTTTCTATACAAGTAAAACATTGTTAGAATAATTAGTATAGTTAACATTATATTTTCAATATAATGAAATTATCATTTACATTTTCATGAATTGTTCTTGTCTCTAAGTTAGTGTTATATTTTTCGAAAACTCTCGAATATATGACTAGACAGCTCCCAATAATACTTGTATTACTTCTCAAATAATCTAACGGTGTCATATCTGAAATATGCATGAGCATATACCACATATTTTAACAGTAGGTATACTATTGTAGTATTATGGCATTATATTGGCATATATTATTCACTTTTCAGTGTGGTCATATTAAATAATTGTAATTAACTTTAAAAAAATTATAACCTTTTAAGCTTTTTCTGTCTAGTGGTAATTCGAACCTTATGTTCTTTCTAGAAAATGTTCTTGGTAAACCTGGTAAAATTACCTCTGTATTCATTCCTAATTTAAGTTTTAATGCCTCTAGTTCATTATTGACTTCTTGATTGATTAGTATTGGTTGCATTTTGTATGCCTCTTGTAATGCCATGTGTTTCTAAAAAATAATTAAAATCAATAAATAATATTTAAACAATGCTAATTTTAATTGCATCATTTTTTTGTGTTTTGAAATTATTAATACGTTTTTGAATTTGCGCAATAATTTATTTATTTATTTATTATGATATAAACGGGCGAGAACAATTACAATAGTATGTGGAGCATAATGGTTATTGTGGAGGTACCATGTTATGTAATTAAATTACTAAGATTTAAATTAAACAAAACAACAGAAATACAGAATTACAAACAAAAATATCGATATTAAAATTATTAACATGTTGCATGGGTTTAAATAAAGGGGCGTTCTTACCATAAGAAGTATGCTGCAATGGCACATAAAAATGTAATTATTAAAAATAATATGAATTAATCATGTGATATTTATCCTCGGAATAATTCAATAATATAGAATTGTAAATTTGTAACTAAAAAATATAATATATTAAATATATAATACGATGTAAGACTATAGTTGCTTTAATTGTATTGTACGTATATGTATTTCTAAATATCCAACATTTAAAGTTTCATAATTTTAAATGAAATAATGTATTATTCTTAGTCATTTTTAAAATAAATTTACTTTAATGAGGTTTAAAAGTTCATTAAATATACTTAATTATATCAGAATTATATTTTAACCTTCACATCAAATTCATTTTCAACGTCAAGTAAGTGCAATTCTCTTTGAAGCTCTTTTAAAATATCAATGTCTATGAATGAACTTGTTTTTGGTTCTTCGTTAGTCTCTTCTTCAATTAGTTGAGCGTCATTTTCAGTAATTATACTACCATTTAATGAATTTTGATTTATAGTAGACACCTATTAATTGAACCAAAAATAGTAAAATTGTATAAAATGCATCCTGTTAAAAATTATGACTTGAGTTTCTAATGGGTCTTGGACTCCTTTAAATTCTTTATTATGTTGCCCTGATTTCTTTTTTCCTGATTTTTTTTGATTTTTTTTCCCTGGTTTAACAGGTTTTCCTCTTCTCCAAGTTACTTCTTTGTTTTCTTCTGTATCTTTTTGCACATCATAAGAACCGGGTAAATCTAAATGCCGCTAAGGAAAAAATTAAATGTTGTACAGTGTTCTCTGCTTATTAATAATAATTACTTACCAAATTAACGGCGATGTTGTCTGCTTGTTTTTCTGTAATAGTGATTTGGTGTCGAGGTCGTCTTTTTAATACTTCTTTTTTAACTTCTACTTTTCGTCCTAAAATACTGGTTGTATAATTTGGACGAAAATAATGTGGTATATGAAGCACCGAACCATGACATAAAGACAACGCTTCACAAAAATCTTGACCCACAACACCCTAAAATAAGTTTTAAACACAAGCCAATATGACAGTTAAAATGTAGGTAAAAAATATTATTGATAGTGTCTTAAATTATTTCATACAGATTAGACAGCAAAACGTAAAATACACCGTAAATACAATAACATTAATTATTACTAATTAAGTATATTATGAGTGAGTGTATGACATAACATTTAAAAATTTTATTTTATTTTTGGATAAAAATACTACAACTTTAAATTAATTTATCACAGAAGTATTGTACTGTAGAACATAATGCTTAAATTAATCACTATTACCAAATATTATTGTATTAAATAATATTACAAATAAAATTGTTTTATAATCTTATCATTGATCAATAGTGTTTTTGTGAATTTCTGACGTCACATTTTGAAGTTAAGACTTTGAGGGTGGTCTTGGAGAATATTGGATCTAGGTACTTTGGAGCGTCAAAACAAACAATGCTCAGTACTCCTCAAAATAATCAGGAAAAAAAAATAATAAGCCTTTGAAGTTCTAATTTTGACATATTTCAAAAAAATCACTATTTTTCATCCTTATTTTGTAGTTGAAAGTTCATATTTTTTTAAATTGTAGGTAATATTTTAGATTCAAAAATGAAACAAGGTTTCTCGTAAGTTGTTCTTAAGGGGATTTAAAAATATAAAATAAAGATTTTTTTATCGAATGGTTTTTATTTAATATTTAGATGTAATCAAAAAATATTAACTGTAAAAACTTGAAACTTTGATGTTAGGTAGATTATTTTTCTAAGACTCATGTTGAACTATTTATACCACGCGTGAACTGCGAAAATACTTTTACGGTTAATCTAAATCGTAGACCAAACGTTATACATGGACATACGGTATGCAGTTATTGAGGTTCAAGTTCAAGTTGAAACAATAATATATGGTATAGTATTATAATATTTGAGATGTATTAATTAAAAATAAGTTCTATTTACTGTGTTTCAAATCGAAAAATAAATTACTAATAGTTATATTAATAAATTATAAAATAGCTTAGAAATATTAGTATTTGGTTGACGTTTTCTCCGCTTTGAACTGTTTTTCGCAATGATACAACATCGAATTCAAATTTACCACTTTTATTACAGTGGCTTACGCTTAATGACAAGGTTCACTCAAAAATTACTACTTATATTATACAACAGAGTGACTGCTTTGAATTTTTATTTTAATACCTCATAAAAAATTATGGCTTATGGTTTCTTCTTTCGATTTGAAAAAAAAATATTTTCTTTATATTGTCTCACTTAGCTGTGTCTAACCGAAAATTTAATCGATGACTGTTGACTTCTACTTCGATTTAAATCCAATACAAGTCGAGATTTGTCTATTGCTAATTCAGCTGGAGTTTTTTTTTGCACGACAGTAGGCATAGGACTGGTAGCTCTAGAATCTGTTTCTGTATATTTCCTGAACAGCTCCTCTGGTACGATAATGTTAATTTCATCGACATCAGGATAGCGGTGTGGTGACTTAGGGTCCAAAGCCTACAAAATAAATAAATATAAAATGGCTTACTCAACTAATTTTATAACTTATTATATATTAAATTATACCAAAGCGTCCTTAGCTTTTTTTACTAGATCTTTAATTTCACTATCCAGTGGATGATTGCACAACACTGAACAACCATATGGATATGGATTGTACAACGATGCCAATGGCTTCAATACAATTGGTGCTGGGTTGCACGATACTCCAGTAATATCAATTGTTTCATCTTTCTATAATTTTACAATTGAACAAATCTATGAATTATTCATGAATGACGGTTTCATTAAATAAAATAATCAAAACTTAGGTAGAACAGTTATTCAAATTATTTAAATGTGTATTATTATTTTTTTTTTATTATTATTCGATACACGTGCAATGTGTCAAAAGTCAAAAATTACAGTAGCATTAAAAATATTGTGATTGAAGTATGTACAAACAAAAAAAATATATATATTTAAAAAACGGGGATTTGTATAGGCAATTTAGTTACTTTTATAAATAACCAACAGTCAATAGTTGGTATTGATTTTTAAATTAGATAATATAATTTAAAATGAAGATAGGTTAGGTTAGATTAGGAATAAGTTAACACGTAGGAGGGACATATATATAATATGGTAACAAAAAGTAGACACGAAAGTATATTATTAAATAACTGTTTACTAAAAAATGAACTCAAATATTTTTATTTTTGTTATAGCCATTGTTATTAATTTTGAATTACATATCTAAACGAAAAATTTTATATATAATCGTCAATACTTTAATAGTAATGAAATTAGAAGCAGTGACATAGATTATAATGTTATTTAAATATACGCTTTTAGTTCAATACTTAATGTTTCTGGCACATTGAAAAAAATCTAAAACGGATCAATTTTGAAATAATTTAGAGAGACTATACTGTGTCGATAAGTGGAGTGCATTAACCGAGTAATTTTTTGTTTAAACAATAACTATAACTTTACCTGATTTATATCGTTGAAATCAGCCTTCACCACGCTGGCATAAAGCCCAGTCCTACTTACCATGGTTATTGTATATAATTTTGGCTTGTAATGAGTGTTATAATTGTTTTAAATGGTGAAAAAAAAATAGTACGAGCGATTGTTTTTGCATTGGCCGCTTGCTTTGTTTTTATTTACATAACAATTACGTTACGATTACATAATGCTTAGATATAGCGAGTAATACGCACGTTATGTTTCTGATCGTGTGGTCTTTTTTATGACACCGTGCTTTGAACCAACGCCGTAACCCCGGCAACTCGATGGCTTTATCATTATGATAAGAATATTACATTTTTAATCGTTTACGATTTGTATAAAATAGAAACTGATGTTATAACATTTCATTATCATTGTATACATTTTTAATGAATACGAAAACTTAACGAATACACATTAAGACTAAAACATATAAATGCGCATTTATCTTATTATTTGTACAATATTATGTACCTATATAAGTAATCATAATCGATCTTGCTGATTATGTAACTGAACAAAAACAAAGTAATCGATAACAATAATTTATAAGAGATTATTTATAACACTCTATTAAAACTTTATTTAATTAAAAAAAAAAAATAATAACACTATTAAAAAAATTAAGTACCGATTGTATCAAAATTTTGTTACAAAAATCTTGTTATTATAACGACAATTTTCACAGAGAATTTTTGATTTTGAATTTCTTTAAAAAAAATACATATCCTAAATAAACTAAAAATATTAATCGTCTGGTTCTGTCATCTAAATAAAGTATTGATAAATGGTATATGTATAGGCAGGTCTTACGTCTTACACTTATATCCATGATTTGTTTAGATTTTTACTCTTTTGACTTTTAAGATGTTTTGATGTTGACATTTTCTTATGTGTAGGTATAAAATACTAATATAATAAAGTTGAATATTCATTTTCAGTATATGTTGGTACTTTGTTCATAATATTATTAAGTTGTGCTTAATAAAATGAATATGAAAAACATTTTACAATAAAGAAAGCGTCTGATATTACAAATCTTTAAAATAATATAATTATATACATGAATGAGACTATCTAGTATCTTCAAAATTATTTTTTTTGATCAGTCGTTTTTACTTTATACCATCCCGTCATAATGCCATAATAATGTCATATATTTATACTTAAATCTTACAGATAAAGATCAAACAGTTTTGTAGGATATTCAGGGTTTATGTGGTATTAGAAATTTCTGAGTTCTAGACCGTTCTCATTTTTCACCACCTACTTATTCTAATAATAGACAATACTATTTTACTAATTGTCACAGCCTTCTTGTTAAATATATAATATTTCTAAAAATAATTACCATCACAAAATAATACTGTAAAAAATATATCAATTCACGACATTTTGTTTAGTTATAAATTATAGTAGGTATTTTAATTTATAGTATTGAACCAAATGGGTAGACACCTACCGATGTTGTAGAATAATTACGTAATAAATGCATTGACCGAAAAAGGAACATAATATGCTTGGTTATATACATTCTACAAAAAGGGGTTCTGCACTTTTTTTTTATTAAACATATAGCTTATAATAAAGTACGCAAGGAAATGTGTACGTATGTTGTGTACCTACCTATATTGTATAACATATAATACTATGTTCTAAACAAATTTCATTTATTTAATTTTGAAATAGTTTTATCAAATAGATAAATTCGATAACATTTGTTAGTAGAACGAAAAAAAGTGTATTTAATTAGTTATGATATAAGACTAATACATGACGAACTGCGTATAATATATAGTGGGTATAGAAACCAGAGGTTCTCATTTTTTAATAATCACAAGTTATGTATTAAAATATATTCAATCAAAAAAAAATAGCTAACAACATGTAAACAAGGTACCTAAAAACACATTAATCATTCTTACCTTATTTGATTAATAAACTGGTTATCAAGATTTCTAATACACTTGCATGATGTGTTATTGTGAAGATACGAAACTGGAGTTGTATTTTGTTGAGGAATATATTATAATCGAATGCATTATGTATAATATGTTTTTGACACGTTATAATAGCGGTATAACAATAATATTATAAAATAAATCATATTGAATTAAGAACTAATTAACTATACCTATATCAATCATATAAACGGGGCTTCTTGTTTTTACTTTTACGTATTGTTATTGACTATTGGCTGACTGTATATATGTGATTGTACTTCTTTTTAATAATATAATAATTATGATGTGAAATATTATTATCACTGCAGCACGCACGTGTAGAAACAATAATTATTCTAGGCAGGGAATATAATATTACCTTTAATATATTGTTGATTAATCATGATAATAATAATAAACGTTAAAAATAAAAATATATCTCTTAATTTAGCAGTATTCTTTATTATTCATATCGAGAGTATTAAAAAATTAAGCATTTTGTTCGAGCTGTCCACTGAAATATCGTAACCGTAAGCCAGTGAAAACCACGTAGTGCTGACTGTGTCGGTAATAAGGGCGGTGGGAGATGGTGGGTCGGCCGGAGTTCATCTGTACCATCGATATACATTTCATACCAATATAAGAACCGGTGTTCTGAGGTCGCCGCGTGTAGTTCGCAATTATCATTTGTCGAGCGCTCTTCGGCCTAGACGCGGGTTTATTTGTTTCATTTTACACAGTGTACACTGTACAGCCTGAATAAATCATCAGAGATGGTGGACGAGAGGAGTAGCTTGACAAAAGTAGCCGGCAAGACCAAGGGAGTGTTTCGAAACACCAAGTATGGGTCGACTAACGACCAGAAACAAGTCATCGACACCAAACAGAAATACAGGAAATTAAAGTAAGTTTTGTGAGATGTTGCTTGAGTTTTGTTTATGCAGTTTTCGACGCTTTTTTTTTACGCTACTTCGTATACACATTACACGTGTGTTTGTTTGGGCTAATTTACTAATAAAATAGTATTGTAAGGGGATGGACATTTTTTTTTTTATTCACAACTTTATCTTGCGCCGAGAAAAAGCGATTGCGTTAGAAAACAATTCAAAATAACATTTGTAATTGTAAATTAATTTTAAATCCAACATTTTTTTTCTAAATTTAATTTCAATAACTTAACATGTTTAGTTATTTTAGTAAGCAATAGCCGGTCCAATGATTTGTTGATTAATACATTTTAAATATTAAGATATAAAGAAAAGTTATAGAACTAAAGTTTTCTTTTAAGTATCAACTTTTTGTTTTTGTCAAAATATCTACGTTACATACCAAAAGTTATATGCAGTACTTTTGATGGAGAGTTAAACACGTTTTGTAGTATAAGTAAACATTCAAATTTTTTATTTTTATTTCTCACTTATTTAAGAAAAATCATGTTAATAAACCTCTATTTTTAACAGATATTAACTATCAACTATTAATACTAATTATTTTTCTGAAAACAAGTTTTGAAAACAAACGATTAGTTTACAAAATATACTGAGTCATAAGTACATAAGGAACATTATTAAATACAAATAATTGATAACAAACTGAGAGACATTCGTTTTAGAGGTCTACCTAAATTATTTATTATATTTTATTATCACTAGGTTAATGATAAATGATATCTTATTAAAGTTTAATACTTACTTTGTTATAACAATATTATATACTCTTTCATTGTTATACCAGAAAAATTTAAATGATTTTTTTTCATTAGTTCATAATCATGGTGGTTATTATCGAGTATTAAGATGGTTTATTCTATAACCATTATTTGAATTTAATATTGCACAATTTTAATTTGAAACTTCAACTATTATACAATTTTGTATTCAGATAAAAATTGAATATTTGATCATAGTAGGTAATTAAGTAATTGATTTTTAAATTAGTTTTTATCATTTAATGTACTTTTGTTTTAAATGCATACCTATTAAATTGTATATTCGTATAAATATTTACAATAAATATGTTTAATATAGCCGTAAGTAATACATAACGTAACGTTGAAGAGCAACAATAAATTATTGAATCTAGGCACTAATTTAGATACTTGTTAAACATAATTTGGATGAAGATGTAACAATTTTAATTTTTAGTAAGGCATCACCTATATAATATTGTATAATATGCATTAAATGTAATATAAAAACTAGTATTATAATCAATGGTTCAATATACATAGTATATTGTGGCGTTGCATCAATGCATCATAACAACATACGTTGCTAATCCCTATCATTTAATTAAAAAAAATTATTCACTCCCTTACATGACCTTAAATTTCTTAAGCACATATCGAGAGAAAACTTAAGAAGAACATTAAAAAAAAAAATGTCGTTACGTAACATTTCTAATACTCGCAGCACAACGCTTGAAATTGTTTTGATCCAATTTTTTCTCGAGTTTCGTTGTTTTATCTAAGTGACATGAAAAAAAGTCATCTTACGAAACGCACATTGGTGTATAATGCTTACTTATATAGTTTTAAATAATTATATAATATAACACGGATTGTGATAAATGACACAATTAAGTAGGACGAAATTATTTTTTCTCGTGTTGAATATATGCATTAAATCGACTTCATACAATAATGTATTTTAAAATCTGAGGTTCTATTGCTGAATGAGCTCTTTTTAATGTGTTTTATGTCATTGTTATTAATATTCTGTCATATATGTTACTTATTGTGTATTTATGTACAACAGATGGTAAAATAATGTTTTAATAAGACCAAAATGCACATATTTATGTATAAAAATAATAGCGAAAAATTACATGAATAATATTGAATAGTGAGGCCTAAAAGAAAGAAGAAAAAGAAAATTTTCTTAACTAATATTGCATTATGTATTAGGTACTTACGGAATTATTTAAAGTTTTTAAAAATATTTTTTTATTTTTATATTTATTACAATATAAAATATTACCGTAAGTGTACTTGGAAAAAAGTTATGAAGGTATCTATTATATGTTTGTCTAATGTTTTTATTGTGTATAAACCGGATGTGAAACGATTGTTGGCTAAATTGTCAACGGACGTAAAATTAGGTCCAATGAACAAAGTTATATTGGTAAAATAATTTATTATTCTGTCTATTAAAAATCGCATCCTCTAACCCACTTTCTGTTAAGATATTCTTTTAGTATTTTTCTATTCTTTAGATGGACCACTATGAGTATTGTGAGTTGCGACTTGCAAAGTATATAAAGTTGTG